AGGGCAGCGCTGGGCACCAGCCCCAGCTCCTTTGTTCCTGGGGAGGGCGGAGCTGGAAGGGGAAGGAAGACTTAGGCCCCAGGAGCTGCCTTCCTGGCCTGTGTCCAGGACCCTCAGCTTGGGCCAGAAACAGGGACGGGCGAGAGCCCCTGTCGGGACAGGTCCTAGAATGCTCTCCTTGTCCCCGGGCGGGTGCTCAGGCCCTCCACCTCCAGGAAGCCACTCCTGCCTGCTCCAGCCCCTCTGATCTTTTCATCCCTGGATCCCTGATAGTGACTCCTCTCCGGGAAGACTCCCTGAGAACGGCTGGGCCCTGGAGAGGCTGAGACTCCGAGGAGGGGGCTCCCAGGAGGGAGACTGGCCCCAACTCCAGGCTGTGTGCGAGGAGGTGAGGCAGGCACGAAGCTTCCGCCTCACTTCCCTGGGAAAGTGAGAGGGAGAGCAGCGTCCAGAAGTGCATTTCTGGAGACGGGCCCTGAGCTGGGCTGCAGGGCTGCCTGGGGGAGGCAGTGGTGGGCAGGGCAGGTGGAAAGGCCTGGGGGGCGGGCGGGAGGAGGAGAGGACTGGCCTCAGGCCAGTGGCAGTAGGGCCCCGCAGTCAAAAGTAAGCCGCAGTGCCAGCCCGTACCCTCCCACCATCAGCGGGGGGAGCTCAGGCCTGTCGCGGAACCTCTGTGCCTCAGGTTCCTTTCTGGGAGGAAGATGGTAACAGCACCTACTCCTGGGGCAGCGGGGAGGACCCAGGGAGTCCAGCGACAGGAGTGCTCAGGGCTGGGCCTGCCCGCGGGGAGGCTCCAGAATAAGGGGTGCAGGCCTGTCCGCGGGGAGGCTCCAGAATAAGGGGTGCAGGCCTGCCCACGAGGAGCCCGTCGCATGCCACCCTGGTCTAAGGCCAACTGTGAATCCTGACGGCAAGGCCAAGGCGGCCGCTCAGGGACCCCTGCGTGCCTGCAGCGAGGACTCTCCCCGCCGCTCAGGGCCAAGGCGCTCTTTCTAATTACCACGTGCTGGTGCTCACTACGCACCAACATTGAACGAGGAACGTGTGTGTTCTCACGTAAGCCTTCCATCAATATATAATATACAAAATGATCCGCATCTTACATGTGCACAAGCCAAGTCCTGGGAGGTCAACAGCATAACTTGCCCAAGGCCACGTGGACACGAACGGCACGATGTCCTCACTTCAAGCCCAGTACTCTATCCTGCCCCCCAAACCAAGAAGAACACAGCCCGTCCAGAGGCGGAGGTGGCCTAGCAAACACTCAAGGGAGTCCCTCCACGCTCCCTGCACACTCACCCAGACTAAGCTTCTGTCCTGGTCACCACTGTACCCTTGACCCAAGACCTCTCCCCAGCGCGCACCCCGCCCCTGCCGCACGCAGTGTAACTGCACGTCCGGCCTCCAGCTCTGGGGCCCAGAACCCCAGACCCCCCAACCTAGGAGATGTTCGGTCCTGCAAGGGGTCACCCCAGCCTCAGGGCTGCAGAGATCCAGGTGAGGTGAGCGCAGCCCCCTCATGGGAGCTTCAGAAAGTAAACATGCCTGCCTGTACTCCATCCCCCGAAATTCAGAATTAGCCAGTCTGCAATGGGATCCGGGCTTCACTATTTTCTTAAAACTCCACATGATTCTAAAGGGCAGCAAAGTTAGAACTGGCGCTCTGGGCAGCTGCACAAACGGACGCCAGTCAGAAACGAGAGACCCCACCCGAGGCCAGCCCTGTGTCCACAAACCAGCTGGGGCATGAGAGCGTCCCTCTGGGAGCTAGAGGTGGCTTGTGTATGTCAGACATGCTGGGAGGGGCCCGGCTTGCCGGGGAGCGCGGGAGAGGAGGGCCTGGACCATGAAGGTCTCATCCACACTGCATGGAGGTGGGAGAGCGCTGTCCTCTCATCCGGTCCCCAGCCCCGTCCTCTGAGGGAGTTGGGAAGAGAGTCTCATGCACACCTGGGAAAGTGGAGGCCAGAGCAGAGATTTGACCTGACTGCCCCTCACCCCTCACCCCTCACCCTTGCACACTGCAAGCTCTGGGAACAACAGGGTCCCCATTCGTCTCCACATGTCCTGGGAGGCAGGCATGGTGGGAGGGCGGTCATTGCCCCAGGTGACCATGAGAGACCAGGCCCAGAGCCCCGAATGGAGGGCGGAGCCTTCCACAAAGCAGGACCAGCACTCTGGGCCGAGGGCGCAGGGAGTTAAGGGGTTAAGGGTCACGGAGATCCACAGCTCTGCCAGGCAGAGGGGGGGGGGTCGTCAGCAGGCTTTGCTTCTGATGGACAGAGTGGCATCCTTTCTCCTCCTCTCAGGGGCTGTCCGGGGAGTAAACCTGGGGTGGGTGTCAGAAGCTCCCAGGCTGGGGCCCCGGGAAATGCCACTGCTCCTGAGGGGCTCCCGCCCGGGGGAGGGGGCCAAGTCTCCACCTACGAGCCACACTGTGGGCCCCTCTCTGTGGGGGGGAGGACAGGCCCAAGTGCCCTGTCGCTGCAGCTCACCGAGGATGGGCAGGTCGATGGGGGTGTGGAGGGGAAGGGTCAGGAACGATGGCGGCCGGAGCAGAGGCGCGCGGGCCCACCTGGTCGGTCTGCCGAGGGCAGAGGCTGGTGTCTTAACCCAGGGCCCCTCCCCCCTCCGAGCTCCCTGCTCTCCAGGGATGAACCTGGGGCCTTTACCCTCCCCTGCTGGAGAAAGCTGGGCCCCCAGGGCCTGGGCTGGGAGTGGGGGGGTCACAGTTGCCAAAATGGTGGGTGGATGGAGGACGGTGCTCACGGCAGGGGGTTCCGACCTCCCGCAGCCCTGGACATCTGACAGCCCCTCCCCCCACCCCGTGCAGGCCCACCTGCCTCATCCAGCACCTCCCAGCCCCAGCCCAGCACTGAGGAGACGGGACGAGAGACGGACAGCGAGAAAGAGACAGAGGCAAGGAAAAGGAGAGGCCCCACTCTGTCCACCGTGGCTTCTCTGCAGACCCAGCGCGCCCATGGCCCCCCCACCCCCATCCTGGCACAGCTGGGCCAAGGAGGGTACGGGAGGGGCGGGCGTCAGAGGGGGAGCTGTGGGACCCCACACCCAGCTTCCTAACCTGGGCCCTTGCCCTCCACTGCCACCCCTCCCTTCCCTAGGGGGTCTCCGGGCCGAATCACAGATGCCGCAGGGGGCCGGGAGGCCCTTCCCTTGAAGAGGAGGAACCCAGGGTGGAAGGATGAATGGGAACCCACCGGGATCAAGAGATGCCGGGCAGGCGGGCAGCGGGCGGGCAGCAGCGGGTGTCGGAGACTGCCGAGGGCAGCCGGACATGGCCGGCTGGATGCTCGTCCCTCCGTCCCTCTGTCCATCCAGGGCGGCTCCTCTCTGGGCGGTTCTGAGGCCGGGCGGGCGCTGTTAAAAAGCTTTTTATGTGTGTGTGTGTTAATCACATGATTGCCGTTCACCTGTATTTCGAACAAAGACAGCTCACTGTTTCAAGGCCCCGAACAAGAGTCTGGGCACAGGGAAGAGAAGGGAGGCGGGGGGAGGAGGGTTGGCAGCGCCGGGGGTGGCGTCGAGGAAAACTGGGGGGAGATTGTCCAAGGCCAGCAAGCAAGAGAAAGAGAAAACCCTTATCAAACTCCTAATTCACTGGGCTCCGAGGCCCCAGACACACTGGCCCGATTGTCTGGCCGGTTGTGTGTGTGAGCATGTGTGTGTGTGTTCCAATGTCCGCTCCCCCCGCCCCCAACATGCCTTCGCCTCGTGTGACTACCTCATTGTGTCCCATTACCCACTCCCCTCCACCCCCTTGGCCTTTCCCAAGCAGGAGGCCTTGCCCAGACCCCCTTTCCAGCCCCACTCCAGACGGGGCTCCCTCGGGGTGGGCCCGCGGCCTTGCCCCGCTGCTGAGGAGCTTGGAGCCATACCTGGTTGCTAGCGCGGCCCAGGCTCCATCTGTCCCTCCATGCACACTTAGGCCTCTGCCTCGCCACCCACCCACTGAGGAGAGAGAAAGGACGTGACCTTTGAGGAAAGACCTAGGAAGGAGGAGGAGAGGGAAAGGAGCCTTGGGTGATGGGCACCCAAGAATGGAGGATACGCCTAGCTGGGGAGGGGTCTGAGCGGAGAAGGGCAAAGAGGAGGAAGAAGGGGGCAGGGCAACTGCTCACCGTTCCTTGGGAGTGGGGGGCTTCACAGTAGCCAGGCCTGGGGCCCCCCACCAAGGGCGTGTGAACCCTGTGTGAAGGGAGGCGGGGCCCAGGAAGCGGGCCCAGAGCCTTGCAGACCTCCTTGAAGAGGACCCTCAGCCCCGAGCCCAGCCTACTGGTGACTTTAGTCTTGTTCATCTACCTTGAGCCAGCCCACCCAGCGTGTGCTGGGTGTCCAGTGAGAAGGGACCGGGTCAAGCCGGGTCATCTGCGCCGGCAGGAGGTGCGGTGCTGCCCCTGCCACACCAAGTGTAGACCTGGCTCTCTGTTGGTTGAGGCAGAGAGGGCAGGCTGGGGGTGGGGGGTGAGGTGGGGTGAGACAGCTGGGGAGCAGGGCCTGTCCGCAGGTGCTCCGCAAGATGTCCACCCAAGCCGCACAAGCCAGCCACCCTCGCTTGTCAACAGAACCTTCGCCCGCCTTCTCATCCCCTCTGGAGCTTCTGCCAGCTGCCCATCTGGCCACCTGAGGCAGAGATTGGGAATCATGGTTGGGTCCAATTCTCCTCCAAGCAACAGGTTCTGACCCTACCCACGTGCATCCCTTGGCTCTCCCGGCCTGACCACCCCGCTCCTGTACCTCCCCAAGATGGGCCCGGGGCGGCGGCAGCGCAGGGAGCTGGGGTGGGGGGGCCTGGCGGAGGAGCCCTGAGTGTTGGGGACGAAGGAAAGCGCTGGAGGCTCCACCTTCTGCCCTTCCCTCCCTCCCCTCCCCCTCCCCCTCTCCCCCTCCTTCCTTCCCCAGCCCTCGGCAGCAGCTCAGTGCTCAGTCAGTCTCGGGCTGTCCGGCCAGGGTGGTTGGTGGTGAGGATTCAGGCTCCGTCCTGACGAGGCCGTGGCCTGAGGTTCAGGGCCCCCCAGCCCCTCCCTCCCAGCCCACCAGCGTCAACCCCCAGCCCCGAGCTGGACCGCACACCTTGGGACACGGTTTTCCACTTCCTAAGGACGAGCCCCAGGCTGGAGGAGAGGTCCGAGGAGGTGAGTGCGTGCGCAGCCCTCGCCTCCCGCCCGCGGCCCAGGCCCGGGCCCCTGCTGCGAGGCCTGGGGTGGGGAGAGGCTGACACCCGCACCTGCCCCCCACCCAGCTCCTCTAGACTCCTTAGGGGCAGACGGAAGGGAAGAAGGAAGGTGAGAGAAAAGGTGGGAAATTCCAGGAGCCAGGATTAGAGCAGAAGAAAAGAATCCGTTTTTCTCCCTTTCTATCAACAAACCTCCACCCAAAAGGAGGTTTAAAAAAAATCCCAAACCCACCCACAGTAAGCGACGGTTGGGACCCGGCGGTGGGAAGACGTGGAGCCAGGAGCCGGCCCGGCCGAGTCTGGCATGTGCGCGCGGCCAGGGGGCTCCAGTGGGTTTAGGGGGAGCAGGGCAGACGCCACCTCGGGGCTGTGCTCGCGTCGCATCCCGGGCCACCGTCGGGGCTGCGCGCGCGGCCGCTCCATCTCGCCCTCCTTCCCCGTCCAGGTGAGCGTGGGACTCTTCGCGAGAACACCGGAGGCGGGCCCCGGGGAGGCGGCCGAGGCGGCGGCGGCCGGGGGCGACATGGCGGAGGAGCAGGACCTCTCCGAGGTGGAGCTGAGCCCCGTGGGCTCCGAGGAGCCCCGCTGCCTGTCCCCGGGTAGCGCGCCCTCACTGGGGCCCGACGGCGGCGGCGGCGGCGGCGGGGGATCGGGCCTGCGAGCCAGCCCGGGGCCGGGAGAGCTGAGCAAGGTCAAGAAGGAGCAGCAGGATGGCGAGGCGGACGATGACAAGTTTCCCGTGTGCATCCGCGAGGCCGTCAGCCAGGTGTTGAGCGGCTACGACTGGACGCTGGTGCCCATGCCCGTGCGCGTCAACGGCGCCAGCAAGAGCAAACCGCACGTCAAGCGGCCCATGAACGCCTTCATGGTGTGGGCGCAGGCGGCGCGCAGGAAGCTGGCCGACCAGTACCCGCACCTGCACAACGCCGAGCTCAGCAAGACGCTGGGCAAGCTCTGGAGGTGAGCGCACCCGCCGCCCGCCGGGACCTCCCGCGGGCCCTCCAGCTGCGGGGGGGTTGGGGGGGGTCAGGCCAAACGGGGGCTCCCTGGGCCCTTCTCGGGGGCAGCCGCCTCCTGATGGGACTAGAGGACCAGGTGTGGGCGTCGGGCCGCCCTGCCCCCCACATGTACCCCCTTGGGGTGGTGCTGGCTCACAGCTCCCTAGGCCCAGTCTGGCTCCCGACCCGGGGCAGCGGGCAGAAAGGCGCCCCCTCGTGGCTGGAATTCCGTCGGTGGCAGGCGGTAGGGCCTGGGCTTCTTCCCTGGGTAGTAAAGGTTGGAGGCAGGGGAGGATGGCGGAGGGCTCGCACCGCAGGCCTTCACTGAGCGCCTTCCCACCGGGCGCGCACTCAGGGGTGCCAGTGCCGCCGTTCAGCGGTCGGGGTGCTGCAGGAACGCTGGGCAAAGAATGGCGGGCCTGAGTGGAGAGGCAGGGAAACTGAGGCAGCCAGGCACAGAGGTGGTGGAAGTTCAAGAAAAGCAAGGCGTTCAGACAGGAATCTTTGGAAGAGGGAGGAACGGAGACGTGCTGAGGGACAGTCCGTGGCTGCAGGACGCTGTCCTATCCTGCCGCTTTCACTGTGCCTTCCTGACCCTATCCTCCCTCTGTCTAGAGCCTTCTTCATCCCCCAGGGAAGGGGACACACAGAAAGAAGCCTCCCCACCCACCCCGCCCCAAAGGCTGTCCCTCTGTCTCCTCCACCCCCACCAACGCCCTCTCCCAGTTGGGCGCCATCTTCCTTTCCCAGGCCCCACCCAGCGCTGAGTACCTCCTACCCCCAACCCCGACACTGAAGCCGAGAGCCCTGGCCCCAGAGGAAACCTTGGCCCCCTCCTACCCAGGGTCTCTCAGCCTCCCAGCCTCCCTGGGACCAGCTCAAACCTCCAGGGGAAAACATGCCCCCAAGGAGGAAGTCTGCCAGCTCTCTACTCAGCCTGGCCTCCTTGGGGACACGTTGAGCAAGGCAGCTGTCACCCGGAGTCCTGGGCAGCCCACAGAGGACAGGGGCTCCAGGAGATGCGGGCCTGCACAGGTCACCCCATTCCGCGCCAGGCTGCACAGGAGGTGGCCCTGAAAGGCACACGGGCAGCGGCAAAGGCCTCCTCACCACTGGTGGTGGAGCCGGGGAGCCGGAGCCAGGGAGCCAGGCCCGGGCCCCAGGCCTCCTGACTCTTGCCCAGTGGCCTTCCCCCACACCGTCCTCACTGTCCCTGGTGACAGTGGTGGGTCACCCTTTCACTGTGAGGCGTGCTCGCGAGGTTGTGAGGATGGGCGCAGAGGAGAGCAGTAAGGCGTCGGGGTTTCAGAAAGTTCGGGCTCTGTCGGGGGAGCCCCGGCCCCCCTGCTTCTGCGCCCCCCGCTGGCCGGGGCGCAGTGGAGATGGTCCTGAAGGCCAGAGGCCTGCGGAGCTGGGCGGAGCAGGAGGGCTTCCAAGAGGCTGAGAGAGGAGCTCCACATCCAGACCCCGCGCTGCCCCGGCCACGGGTCTGCAGAAGACCTCGTGCCCCTCTCCCCCGCCAGCCCTCAGCACTCGGCTCCTCTGGGCCAGCCAGGGGCCTCAGACCCCGAGGGCCCAGCTCTGCCCGAGAGCAGAGGCCGAATCTAGCTCCTCTGCCCAAGGTCCGTCACACCCACGCAGGGCTCAGCCCAGGGCAGCACAGTCGATGCCATGGGACAGAAAGAGCAAACGAGACAGACAGGCAGGCAGGAGGGAGACAGGCAGGCAGAGCAGGCCACCGTGAAAGCCCAGTGAGGGTATCAGTGCAAGGATGGGCCCCCACTTCTCCCAGCGCCCCATCAACAAGAATTTAAGATTGGACCCTCCATTGTCCCTGTCCCTGGTACCCCAGCCCAGAACCCTGGGCTTGGGCTCCCTCAAGAGGATTCACTCCTGGCCACCGCTCACGATGTGAGCACAGGAGCTCAGGTGCCCGCCACGATGCCACTCCGGAAAGCTTGCCCAGGGCCCAGTCCTGGGGCGGGGGCAGGCCACTGGCAAGGATCAAAGACTACGCCAATATGGGGGCAGGCTCCCTGGATCCTGAGGGGCATCCTGGGACCCTGGGACTTGGACTAGGACACCTGTCTCTCCACGAGCTCCTCCTGGGTCCCTCCTCCCAGGGTCATGACCCCTGAGCCATCAGGAAGGGGGATGACTTGTAGGTAGAAGTGGAAAACAGGGACCTAAACCTCAAAAGAGAGAGACAGACAGGCTGTATGGGTGCTGGAAGTGAGTTGGGGTCATACACACAGATGGCGTCCAGGTCCTGGCTCTTAGGGAGGCCTCGGGGCTCTGACAGCCAGGCTGACCTTCAGTGCTCACCTGGGAAGGGACTCTGAGGTGCAGGTCACGTGGTGCTGGCTGTATGTTAATTGACCTGCCTAGAGAGAGTAACTTGAGTCAAGAGACTAAGATGGGGTCCCAGGCTGGACAGGTGGAGCGGCAGCCAGTGCCCTACCTTGGGAGCCCCCGAGGCTGGGGTCTCCAGTGTGGGTGGGGAACCGGCCTACCCTCTGCCCGCTCCTACTCTAAACCTTGGAGACCCAGAGCACAGAGGTGAAGGGAAGGTGCAAATAAGGATTGGGTTTGGTTAGAGCTGTGGGGGGGGGAGGGCAGGGGAAGACAGTGCTGCGTGTGGGCTGCGCGGGGGACAAGGTCAGGTTGGGATGGGGTTTCCATGGGGGGACAGGGCGGGCTTGGGGTCAGGAGAGAGCCTAAGCAGAGCCGGCCGTCGGAGGTGGGGTCAGCCTCTCCAGCCCCCGCGGGAGGGACGGGGCTGGGGTCGGGGCTGGTGCTGGGCGCGGCAGGTGGGCTCAAGGTTAGGATTCTGTCAAGGTTAGGGTGCTGGGAGGAACCAGCGCAGGAGGCGGAGTTGACGCCGGAATCTTCCCTCTTCTGGCCCGCACCCTCCCTCCACGCTCACTGCCATTTTCTTGCTGATTCACACCGGTGAACAGCTGGGCGGAGGGCGCAGGGCAGGTTTGGGGCTGGAGAGGGAGCCCGACCCACATACAGCTTTGGGGCTGCCTCCCCACCCCTCTCCACCCTCCTGGGCCCAGCATCCCAGAGACCTGCCTGTGGGGAGCTCGGCATCCCCTCCCTGACCCCTGAGGTCCTGATCTGGAGTCCTCGTCCCGTCCCTCGGCCATAGGGACCCTAGGAGAAAGCTGGGCAAGGGCGCAGCGGGGGCGGCTAAGCTGCAGAGGAATGCCGCTGCCCGCGAGGAGGTGCCTGGCGTGACCACCCCCTCCCACCCTGGGCCCGATGCTTAGCCTCCTGCTGACTGGGCGAAAGGGCGCCCATGGCGGGGTGGGTGGCTGAGAGAGCGGCCCTTCGGGCGGAGCCCAGAGCTGCTCCCGAGGAGCCCCTCATGTCTAGGATTCCACAGGTCTGGGTTCTTGACCCTCAGCACCCTCTGCAAGGCACCCCATTCTGCCCTCCTCACCCCGGGGACAGCCAAGCCCTGCCTGCCTGCTCTCCCCACCCTCCAGAGCCGGTGGGCAGGGCAGCGCCTTCAGGGCTTCCCCCCTTCTGGACGGGGAGAGGGTCTAGCTTCCTCTGCCCTCTGTCAGCTGGGCCTCAGGAGAGGCATAGGATCTCCCCCAGGAGCCAGTGGAAGTGCTCATGCCCGCCCCTCGGCCCAGCACACGGGAATGCACAGAACCAGTCCACCAGGGCTGAGGTGGGCGGGCCACAGGCCCTCCTGTCCCCCCGCCCCAGGCAGCCTTAGGGCAGCAGCGCTGTCTCAAGCGCCAGCCCCCCGCCCTGCGCCTGCTGCAAAGCGCTTCACGTCCACTGTTATCTTGGTCAGTCTCATGCTCAGTGAGGTGGGTATTGTCATCCTCGTTTTGTAGGTGAAGAAACTAAGGCTCAGAGAAGTGACTTGCCCACAGTCACACAGCTAGTAAGTAGCAGAGACTGGGCTCCTCCCCTCCCCGTGGTGCTTCTGTTTGCACACTGCTGGTTCCGGGGAGCTCACCCCCTGACGAGACAGCCAGATGAGAAAGTCTTCAGTGGATATCTGCCCCTCCTAAGCCCTATTTCTGCTTCTAAGGCCACGCCAGGGGCCACCAGGAGCAGCAGGCTGACGCCTCCTACACCCTAGCCCTGTGAGAGGTTTGGGGGTGCGATCAGCCCTTCGAGCCTGGGTTCCCTTGAGCCTCACATCTTCCAGCCCACGAGCCAAAGGGCAAGCTCCCACCCTGGACTCCCCGTCCTCGGGCCTCACTGTTTCCCAGGGACACGCTCACGCTCTGCTGTCTCCCCACCACCACACTCAGGCTGCTGAACGAGAGTGACAAGCGCCCCTTCATTGAGGAGGCCGAGCGGCTCCGGATGCAGCACAAGAAGGATCACCCGGACTACAAGTACCAGCCTCGGAGGCGGAAGAACGGGAAGGCGGCCCAGGGGGAGTCGGAGTGCCCCGGCGGGGAGGCCGAGCAGGGCGGGGCCGCCGCCATCCAGGCCCACTACAAGAGCGCCCACCTGGACCACCGGCACCCGGGAGAGGGCTCCCCGATGTCAGACGGGAACCCTGAGCACCCCTCAGGTGAACACTGGGCTGGGGTGGGGGCGGGGCATTGTGATGCGCTGTGGCGGGGAGCTGGGGCCCTGGGGGGGGCGGGGGCTGGATGAGGGGCGTGGGCCCGGCACCCCATGATAGCCCTGAGCCCTGGGAAGGCGGTCTCCCCAGCTGGGGTGCAGAGGCCCAGGGGGAGCTCTGCGGGGACCCAGGGGCCAGGGAAGGCCGCTGGGCAAGAGGGCCCTGGCTGGTAGAAGGGGGCGCTGCTGCTGAGTGCAGAGGCCAGCTAAGGAGGCCGCAGCGGGAGTCTGAGGCACGGGAGAGCAGATGCAGAAGGGACCCTTGCCTGTTTCCCACCTCCCAGTCTGACAGGGGAGACACGGGATGTGACATTAAACACACGCCATGCAAGGGCTGGACAGGGCATCGTGCTTCATTCTCATTAATGATAACAACAGCTACCATTAATCGAGCACCTCCTGTGTGCCAGACGCTGTGCTCACTGCCTTACGTGCACACGCACTCAAGCATGCTAAACAGGGACAAGGCAGCCGCTCTGCCTGGGCTCAGACCTCAGCTATGAGGCTCCTTGCGCTCATTTGGAGGGTGAGAAACGTGCGGTAATGTGCCCCGGAGCAGAGGCCTGAGCCCAGGCCCTCGGGCTCCGGGGCCTCTGCCAGCACCACAGCTGCCTCGCCTGGGTTCCTAATGTATGGAGCGCCATGAGTGGGTCAGGCACACGGGAAGTCCCGGTGAGCAGAGCTGTGCCCTCAGGAGACGTGTCCCGCGTCCTCCTCTGTTCCAGACCCTGGAGCGCACACTCAGAAACTCAGGGTCTAGAGGGAGGAGCCAGTGCACACAGAGCCCGCCCAACACCCAGAGGGGTGTGATCTCTAGGGAGGAGTCTCCAGCTTCCAAGCATCAGGCCCCCAAAGTACCCAGCCACCCGCCGGGTCCAGGCAGGCTTCGGGAAGGAGGCCGTGCCTGAGCCACTTGGTGTTGTCCTGTGTACTGACAAGGAAGCTGGTTAAGAGAGGGTAGGGGTCTGCCCAGGGTCACACAGTGACCGCCAGGACTGAAACCCGAAGTCCGGAACGCGTGGCCAGTGCAGGACTTGGCATTTCCTCTGGCCTGATGGGGGAGGCACAGGCCAGCCCTGCAGGAGCTCCTGGTCTCTCTCTGATGGGGTCCCCAGTCCAGTCATCCCCCCGCCCACATACACGTCACCCTCCGAGATTCCGAAACACGACCTGCACGTGTGTGCAAGTGCACACCCACCTGAAGCCCCTGGACCGTGTACAGAACCACCAGCTCAGAATATAACTGTGGGCGTGGGCTTTTTCTCTGCCTTCAAGGCTCAGCTCAGCTACCTCTCCTCAGTGAGACCTCTGCCAGGTCCTCAGGGCAGGGCGAGTGGCTTCTGCTGGCCTGGGTGCTCTTCACGCCCAGCCCTCACCGCGCTGCTGAAGCGGCCCTCCCGCCATGCGTGGGTCTCAGGGTCCCCCAGCCTCTGAGCTTGTGAGGGCAGCGACCCATTTTATTCACGCTCGTGTCCCCTCTGCCTGGCACAGCGCCCCCTCAGGGTTTGCTGACTGACTGTGTGAATGTGAAAATGGACGAAGGAGCGGGAGGAGGTCAGCGGCCTCAGGGCTCTCCTGAACAAGCGGGGAGACGCCGCTGGGGGAGCTGGGGCCGCAGGGTGTGTGCCGGGGGACGAGAGCGTGTCCTGGAGTAAGGGGCCTTGGGAAGAGAGGCGGCGTGGGAAGGGACACTGCAGTTTGGGGGCCAGGCAGGAGGAGGCACAGGCAAGCCAGCCAAAGTGAAATGGAGAGTCAAGGGCGAGGTCAGCCAGGAGAGCAGCCCGCAGGCCCAGGCCGAGGGAGCCTGCGCTGAGCTGAGCGGAGCTGGGGGTGGGGTGGGGCCCCACTGCGCTCGGCAGCTAAGGAGCCAGCAGAGCAGGGAGGGAAGCGCTTCGGCTGATGTGAGGGAGAACCTTCCGATGGAAAGGTGTTTCAAAAGGAAAGAGGTCTCCCCAGGAGCGGTGATAGAGGGGGTCCTGCTCTGGGCAGGAGAGAGGACCCATCAGTAAGATCGGAGGATTTCAAGAAAAACTGGAGACCAATCCAAGACTGTTACATAAATAAATGCCAACGCAGGCTGCCCAGACATGTGAAACTACAAGGTCACACAGGGGCCAGCCCTCGGCCTCCTGCAGACACCTCTGAAGGCGAGCCATCAGAATCCAGAAGCCCCTGGTCTCATCGCCTGCTTCTCTCTCTGCCTTCCTCCCACCCAGGCCAGAGCCATGGCCCACCCACCCCTCCGACCACCCCAAAGACAGAGCTGCAGTCGGGCAAGGCAGACCCCAAGCGGGACGGGCGCTCCATGGGCGAGGGCGGAAAGCCCCACATCGACTTCGGCAACGTAGACATCGGGGAGATCAGCCACGAGGTAATGTCCAACATGGAAACCTTTGACGTGGCTGAGTTGGACCAGTACCTGCCGCCCAACGGGCACCCGGGCCACGTGGGCAGCTACTCAGCAGCGGGCTATGGGCTGGGCAGCGCCCTGGCTGTGGCCAGCGGACACTCCGCCTGGATCTCCAAGCCGCCAGGCGTGGCCCTGCCCACGGTCTCGCCACCTGGCGTGGATGCCAAAGCCCAGGTGAAGACGGAGACCGCAGGGCCCCAGGGGCCCCCGCACTACAGCGACCAGCCATCCACCTCGCAGATCGCCTACACCTCCCTCAGTCTGCCCCACTACGGCTCTGCCTTCCCTTCCATCTCCCGCCCCCAGTTTGACTACTCTGACCATCAGCCCTCAGGACCCTACTACGGCCACTCAGGCCAGGCCTCCGGCCTCTACTCGGCCTTCTCCTACATGGGGCCCTCGCAGCGGCCCCTCTACACGGCCATCTCTGACCCCAGCCCCTCAGGGCCCCAGTCCCACAGCCCCACACACTGGGAGCAGCCAGTATACACGACGCTGTCCCGGCCTTAAAGGGGCTCGCCACGCCCCCGCCCAGCCAGTCTGGGTAGTGCGCCCCTTCCCCAAGCCCTCGTGCCTTGCTCCTCGCCTGCCTCAGGCCTGGCGGTGGCTGGGGAGGAGGCTGCGGAGGCTGACAGTGGAGGGGAGGCTTTCTGTCTGGCTCACTCCCTTTGATGACCCCCGCCCCATCCTGTCCGAAGCCCTGGACTACTAGGCCGGGCAGAGGAGAAGGTTGATTGTCGCCCCTAGGCAGGAGGACCCTCGATCCCAGGACCTAAGAAGGGCCTGCTCCCCCAGCTCTGGGAGTGGGGGAGCATCCAGGGTCAGATGGGGACCCGAGGCCTTGCCATCCCTGTGCCTGCGTTTTCTCTCTCGTGGAGAATTAGGGGTCTGCCATAACCCAAGCCACCCGTGCCTCCTGCCTAAGGCCAAGGCCCACCCAAGACCTGCGTTAGTGGCTGGCGTGGGCTGCATCTGCCCTTGGGGGCTGAGGGCAGCTTTGAACAGCCCCGGAGGGTGTGGGGGTGGGGTGGGGGCTCAGAGGGAGGTCTCCTCATCGCCCCGGTGCCCCTCCGCTCCCGAACGCAGAAAGGAATTGGCATAGCGGCCCCCAGCTCCGATTCTATGCCAACGACCTCACTCTCTGTCTAATCGAGAAAGAGGGCCCCGAGTCCGCCTCCGTGAGAACCTCCCGACCTTGAGGCACATCCCCGGAGGTGAGGAAAGGATTCGGAGACAATTCACAGAGCCTCCCTCCTGGCTCCCCGCCAGCCCCTTCGTCCCTCCCCAGGCTCTGTGGCCCCTGCTCTTGGCCCCGAACTCCTTGGGCTCCTCAGAGAGCCAAGCTGCTCAGGCCCAAGCCCTGGGCGCCAGGAGGGCAGGCAGGGCCCAGCGCCCCGGCCGCTGGCAGCAGGCTGAAGACACTGAACTCCTGACGTGTACATTCTGCCCTGGCCTTCCGCCCTTTGCTTCCCAGTGGTATCTGAATGAAGTATGTAGCTCTGTCTGCCCCCCTTTTCCTGTTCTGCAGCCCCCGCAGCCCACATGTAACTCATTACTGCCCCCTCTTATTTATCTCAGTAGCTCCCTTTGCCCTCACCTCTCTCCTAGGTTCTCCAGCCCCTATTAACTCTGCATTAAGCATTCCACATAATAAAATTAAAGGTTCCAGTTACCTGCTTGGTGGGCCTGAACTGGCCTGTCTCTTGGTGTCTTATCCCTGTACCTGTGCTTCCCCAAACACCTTCTGGAAATCGGCTACGGGTGGAACACGAGGCACAGCTGCCCCTGCCCGAAGGAGGGGGAGGCAGCGCAGTGGGGCCGGCCGTGCTCAGGGGCTGCGGCCTCTGATGGGAGCCGTCCCCCAGCCCAGCTGTGCCGCTCCCTGCCTCAGGCGGGACCTCGGCCGGTGCTCTGGCCGGGCAGCCTCCCTGCTGGCCCAGCAGGCAGGGCGCCTGCAAAGAACTCAAGAGACAGGTATTTGAAAGGGTGACAGTCAGGCCTGGCTTCTTGCTGTCTGGCCAGCTGGCCGGGTCCTTCAGGCTGTGTCGCTGGGTCTCCTCTCTCTGCACCCCTCCACTTGCCACCTCCCCCAACACGTGCGTGCACGCACGGTGCATCCTAGGATCTCGCTGATCTTCACAGCGGTTACCCATGTCTGAGGGCAAGCCCAGGGGGGCAGATGTGCAATCCAACCCTTCAGCACTTGCTCCCTAAGAGCTCCTTCCTCCGCTGAAGCCAGGGCGTGTGCTTGGGGGCCAGGAGCCACCCCACCTGAGGGCCGGGGACAGGTCTTTGCTGCTGTGCCCGCGGAAGGGCGGCTCCGGTGGTTGGGAGGCTCCCTCATGCCCAGCTAACATGGCAGCAGTCGTGACTGCCATGAGCTCCCGGGCCAAGTGCTCTGTCGTTCCAGCCTGGGAGGGGGTGGGTCTGATCTCTATCCCCGTTTTCCAGGTGGGGAACCCGAAGCTTTAAGAGGGTCACGCTAAGGAGTGCCGGCGCTCGGGCTCTGTCATGCTCTTAGCATCCATTCCACCTGCCCGTCACCTGCGGCCCCTACTTCCGGCCCCTACTTCTGCCTCTAATCTGAAGTGACTTTTTTCCCCAGCTCTCGCCTCCTCCGTCAGGACCTGGGGTGGGGTGGGGAGAGAATGCCGAGGCCCGGCCCGGCCCTCCAGGGCGGCCAACAGCCTTCCGGCCCCCTCGTCGCGTGGGCTCTTCGGGCAGCCTCACGCAGGCTGTGAGCTCCCTGGAGCTCGGCGGCGGCTGCAGGCCCCTGTTCTCGTGGACAGCATCTGCTGCCAGGTCAGGTCACCCCAGGCTGTATATATTTTCTGGTGTTGTGTTTTGTTGTAGGTAAATGCAGGATTTTATACTGATCTTTAACAGATTTCATCTTGTTGGAACTGAGTTTCCCACCTATACTAGACCTTTTGGAATCCTGAGTACGACTTACGAGCTCTCCTGCTGAGCTTTATGTACCTGCAAACCTGACTGTCCTCATTCGGGTCACTAATAAAAAGGCTGAAATGAAGAGAAGCAGGCCCTGTGTGCACCGCTCAGCCCTTCTCCATCCTCGGCTCTGTCACCTGCACCCCTACGGAAGGGCTGGTGATCGGCTCTGAATCTAATTCTGTTGCCATGAGGTGTGCGCTGAATCACAGTGTAGAGATGCCTGGCGACTTACTAAAACCAAGATTTGCTCTAACTTTCCAGACCAGCCGCCATTGAAAAACAAAGTTGGTTCATTCGGCAATGTTCTTAGAAACCCCATGCCAGCTCCTGGGTATCTTCCTTACTATCTAAGCGTTTTCAAATATGCAATAACCTATTCTAGAACTGTGTTAGGGAGCCATCAGTCCTCACCTTACGTGCCCCCAGCTTTTACAGCCCGCCTTTTCCTCTCTCTTGAAAATGGACTATGATGTTAGTCCACTTCCAGTCTACCCACTGCCCCTGCTCTCGGCAGGCCTCTGTATCTCATGGATGGACTGGGAGGTCGCCAGGCATACGGGAAGAGGGGAGACGGCCTTACAGAGGACAAATGGCCCTGGAAAAGTAGGAAGGCCTGGCTTGCACTCATCCCTTAGACCCGAGGTTCCAGATGTGCTGGTCCTCAGTCAGGGAGTGGCCACGAATAAAGAGCGAAGGGCCAGGAGTTCGCAGAGACAACTGAAGAGACTAGGCCCGGGCCTGGCCGGCTGAGCAGCAAGGGCCTGGCTCCCTAAAAGAGGAGCGGAATGGACAGGAGGTGGCAGGAGGAAAAACGCCCCCTTCTGCCTCTCCCCATCCCCTATCCCCTAAGGGTTAACCCCCACTCCCTCTCCCAGCCCCTTCTCTCCTCCCCCACCCAAACCTCATCTCCCTTTAATCACATCTGATACTGAGCGGCCCAGCAGGAACAAAGAGACCATTTAGAGAAACGGGGCCAAGAAAGTGACCCCCGCACTCTGGGGCGGCCGCCTGGATGCCAGCACAAAGGCGGCATTTCAGAGCTGAAATTTCAGCACCCAACTTGATTAAAGGATTCCACAGGCTTGGAGGAGGGTGGAAGGGGGTGCGAAGTCCGCTGCTCCCCGAATTAACCCTTCTCCAGGGCAGCAAACACCCCTCCTGGGGCTGCTCGGCGCTCCCACCCTGCCCGGTGTGCCCACCCGGGGGCCGTGCCTCTCGCCGAGGCCGCCTCTTCCAGCAAGCGGAGCTGGCAGCAGAAGGGAGGCTACGGCTAGGACGTTCAGGGAGCCCATTTTCCCTTCCATCTCTTGTCCGTGTCAGTGCAAACCCTCTCCCCGCGGCCCCCCTCCCTGAGAGGAGGAACGGACGCGATCGGTCCTACTGCGTGTTGGGCGAGCAGGTGCAGGACGGGACCCCCTGGAACCCAGCACAGAGGAAGATGAGCCCCAGTCCTGAGGTGACGCCGCGCCTCAAACACAGGAGCCACTTCCCTGCCCGCTGTCACCCTAGCACCCACCGCAGTCAAGGCCTCAGGGGGCCACGGACCCCGCACGGAACGGAAAGGGCACGCTCCATCCGGAGGCTGGGAAGGAGAGGGCGTGGCAGACCAGAGCGGCAGGCCACGGGGAAGGCGGTGTGGGCAGTGGCCTGAGAAGTGGGGACCAAGGGGGGCAGGGGCGGGCAGGTGCACCACCCCAGCTCCCACTGACGCGCCCAGCAGGGCTCCGCTCGCGAGGGCGGAGATCGCTGCGTCCCAGCTTCCTGCCGGGGCACTGCTCCTGAAAGGGGATCCGAGCCCATGATAAGAGGCTCGAGGCAGGTCCTTAGGAAACAATGGGTGGCTTGATGAGACCTGCTCTGTGATACTCCTGAGAAGGGAGAAGCCCCTGCAGCCAGTCCCCACTGGAAAGGAAATTGGGGGTTTCCATGGAAACCCGCTCCCTGGGCACAAAGGCTGGTCTGTCTGCTGGGAAGGCAGCTGAGGTGTCTCCCTGTAGCAGCCTTCGCTCTGGCGAACGGGGAGATGGAGGGAGGGACTGGGGGTACCCATGGGGGGCAAGGGCCCCTGGTGCTTCTTAAAGAGCTGACAGTCACGAGGCCACTGGGATGGGCGCAGCCTCCACAGAGCAGGGCAGGAGCGCGTGGGGAGAGCAGACAGCCGGAGGCAGAGGGAACGGAAAGGTCGAATAGTTTATTATTTACATGTATAAAGAACGTGAGACTAGAAGCTGGGGACGAGGCACAGTTGGGGAGCTGATTCCAGCTCAGTCGGTGATGATGAGCTCGTCTACCCCCCAGTCTTCATAGCTCCCATCTGGCAGGTAGCGCCGAATGATGATGGGGATCTTTCGGGCCCTGTGGCAGGGGAGAAGGCACAAGTCCGTGAGGGCTGGAGACGCCAGCTCTGTGGCAAGAGGGACAGGTTGCAAGCAGAATGCAAGGGAAGAGAAGTCTTAGGGGCACCCTCCTGAGGCAGAGTGTAAGTTGTAGGAAAGGAGTTACAATAAGAAGAAAGCCCACGCATCCCTGAGTGGAACAGTGGGTCTGGGTAGGCTCTGCCATCCCATGGCTGAAGGGACGGCAGCGGGGAGAGGGAATTCTGACAACCAGGAGAGGCCCATGTCTCATCAGCGCCCTCCCCTTCGCCCGCCCTCCACTCCATCCCCCTCCTTCCTGCTGAGCAGGCCAAGGATCCACAGTACAAGCACCACGCTTCCCCAGCCAGAGACGTGGGGGTCGGGGTGGGCAACAGAGAACCCGGGGGTGCCTCCCAGGGCTCTGGGCGACTTACTTGAGCTCTTTCATGGCGATGAGCAAGGGATCCGTCTCCCCCTCCAGCTCCACCATCACAGGGGCGCACATCCTGTAGGAAGAGGGGCGGGTGGTGGGGAGGCTGCCAACGCAGGGAGGAAGGCCCGTGGCAAGTTGGGGGCAGGGGGCGGGGCTCACTTCACAAACAGGACAGGCACCCCAGTCCCCACCTAGAAGCGTTACCTTCTAGGCAGACAGGCGTGGCGGGCGGGGAGCAGTGGCTCAGGGGCACTGGCAGTGACGGTACGTGAGTGGGAGCCAGTAGACCAGGTTTAAATGTTGCCTCCAAAGACACTGCATCTCTCTCCGGATCTGAGCATCCTCATTTGAAAATGAAGACAAAAAGCCCTGCCTCGCCTACGATGCTGGGACACCACTGGCCAATAAGCAAAGACTACGCACCACGTGCTACTTTTCATTCCTCACACAGATTACTTCATTCGGGGCGAGTACTAGTGGTACTTCTGTTTTACTTGTGAGACACAGAGAGGTCAGTAACTTGCCCATGGTCACACAGCCGGCGAGTGGCAGAGGCAAGGTTTGAATCCTGCGTGCTCCTCCCTACTGTGCTGGAACACCTCCCATTTGTAAACTGAAGATCCACACACTTAAAAAAGGCATTGTGAACGGGACAAGACTAAGCTTTAAGATCACACTCATCCTGTCAGCTGCCCACTGGGGACCTGCCCAGGGCCTCGGCAGCCATCTGAGCCGTCCTGTGGCCGTGGCGGAGCGCTCGGCGCAGAGAAACGTCAGCGTGCGAGGCTCCCCTTCTGCCGGCTCGGACCCACCAAACCCGGGCCCTGCCTCGGGGCAGCTCCCGCTTCCTTCTCGGTCTATCCTCCTTCTCTGTCTATCAAGGCAACGCCCCGTCCGAGTCCTGCCCTTCCAGGCCCTGCCAGGTGCTCCCCTGCTTACTACCCCTTCATGATGCCCCACGGCCAGTAGGCAGAACCCAGGCCAGCGCCTGCTCACCTTTCTAGCACCTCACATGCCACCTGCCTGTATTCACCCCACGTTCCCACCACACCACGCTCCTAAGGTTTCCGGGGCAGACATTGCTGTCACCTTTCTGTGTCCTCTTTCAAGCTCTTCCTCTCCCTCCAGGCCTGGGGGAGACCCAAGTGCCTCTACTCTGGGATCACTGGCTGGATCCTCAGTGCCTGGCTCGTCCACACACGCCTCTCTGAGCCCAGTCTCACTGTGCTCTAACCGCCTGTCTGAAGTGGTCCACGTTAGGCCAGGACGAGCACCTGGCGGCACAACGCTTGACTCTAGGCAGAGGCTCTGAACCCAGACAGGTGGGGTGCCAGTTCCAGGCCCACTTCCTCCAGGAAGCCGCCCTTGATGACTCCAGCTCAGCTCTGCACTAATGGACCCCAAACCTGATGACCAGAATTACCAGGAGCGTGTGTTAAAAACCCAAGATCCCAGGGCCTTTCTCCAGATCCTCCGAAAAGACCATCTGGTGAAGGGACCTGAGAACGTGCATTCACAAAGGTCTCTGATAATCAGCCAGTCCGAGCCACCAGTTGACATCAAATAATTTGCTAATTGTATTACTAAGTATTTTGACTTATGAGGTCTGCCCAGAGGGTATCCAGCCATGTAATATGAAAAAGAGAGACATTTTTTGAAGAAGATACACGAAACATTGTACATAAAATAATGACACCTAGCCCCCTTCAAGGTAGGCACCTTGGGGCCTCACGCAGTTCTCCCAGGCTCCACCAGCTGCCCCGCTGTGTTGTCCTGAATCTCAGCAACAGTCTGAAATCTCTTCCCTTTCAAAGGTGATGCTACTTTTGGTAAAAGCTGGAAGTCGCAGGGCACCAAACCTGGTCTGTAGGGAGGCTGAGTCACTTGGGGGATTTGATGTGTCTCCAAAAGACTCTGCACAAGACGTGATGCATGAGTGGGCGTGTTGTCAGACGGTCATGAAGCTGCCAGTCACCAGTTGCCCATAGCCGCGGCCTTCTGAATCATCCGAATAGTTTCCGCAGAGGAATGTTCAAGCTTAACACAAAATCTGACGCAGATTCGTTGCTCTACTCGCTCAGTCATGTTGAATGGGACGGCCACACAGGGCACATGCTCACTCAACAGCGTCTACCGCCCCTACTAACTAGTACAATGGAGTCATCATTGTTCACATATGCGCATTCCAGTCCACTTGCCTTGGCAGCCCGGTTACAATGATGTTGCACAAACTGTTTTCGTAATAGTAACAATGGCTGGACTTTTTCAGGACAGATCTCACTATTACTCACAAAAGCCTAAAAATGTCTCCAGGGCAGAGCGCAAGTGTTTAACTTTCCCTGTATCCTCTCTCAATAAGTATTAAATGTTTAAATAATGTGGCAAAAATGCCTTTCCTTGTCTGCACAGCCTTCTTTCTTTCCAGACACGAATAATCAAAAGCATTCCTCCATCCAGCCCCACTGCGGGTAGGCATTGTGCGGGGTGTAAGGGTCTGCCCTGGGGTAATCTGCACCAGAGCCTCCGCCGTCCTTAGGAAGCGGCTGTGACACACATCAGCCGCTAGGTGGTGCTAATGAAAGGAGTGAGACCATCCAAACTATGCATGAAATGTTTATTTGGCACCAAAACAAGGCTCATGCCTAGTGCTAGGGGTGAGCTACAGCCCTGGCTGTCTACTGCACACAGCAGGCAAGGAACTGCCAGAGTCCTACTCCTTAAACGGAAGGACTGCAGACCCAACTAAGTGGGACGATGCCTTGCTCCAGAAAAAAAGAAAAACAGAAAAACTGGTCGCCGGGACTCTGTAGTGTCCTGAATGTCTGCCTCCACACTTTTTAAGTGTTGCACCCTGCCCAGCAAATGTACAATCTCCTGAACTTGTCACTCATGGCACCAGGGACATCTTTTCCAGTCTTGTGCCCCAAGCCACTCGCCATCCCCCTCCACAAGCCACACTTGCCTGCCTCCACCCGGACCTTTCCTCCTGCTGTCTGTGGTCCCTCAGGGATACCTTAAAGCCACCTCCCTTCTCCTGGGCCCACGTGCATTCTAACCTCTTCCTGAGGCTCTTCCAGGCTGCCCCGCAATCACTACCTTCCCCGTGTCTCAAAAAGTGCCACAGCCGCTGCCTTGGGCTCTGGGTACTTGGGAAGGGATCCGGCTGCCCACTAGGCTACAAACACCTGGAGAACAGGGAGATTGTGTCTCACTGTCTTCACATCCCCCACACATACAAGCACAGAACCTTATTCAATGCTGAGAGGCTTTAACTTGCACACAATCAGTCTGCGTGTTTGAAAAATAATTTAGGAATCACTCTTCTTGCCGGGTCATTTTCAGCAGAGATGAGCATAAGAGCACCAGTAAAAACGCTCTGCTACAACGTAATCACCTGCCACCTGCACTAGCCATTATGGAAGCACAGCCACAGGTCACTACTGAGCACATGAAATGTGGCTACTGAGACCGAACAGCTGAACTTTTAACTTAATTTAAATTTAAATGGCCACATGTAGCTAGTAGCTACTGTAATTGCTGGTGTAGGCCTTGAGGATCGGGATTCCAGGGATACAAAAATTAACATCCGGAAAGCGGCTGCAGTTTGTCCCAGACAAGCAAAGAATGCAACCGGGCAGGAGAGAGGGCTCCTGCTGCAGAGCGAATGGGGAACGAGGTGCCCAATGGTCAAATCTTTCACCGAGGCGGACACGGTGGTCAGCTCCACCCCGAGGACTGGAGGAGATCAAGTCCAATGCCGAGGCAGGCGGATGCACAGATTCAGCACCACTCCTCCGCCAGCACCCCCGGCTCCACAAGGCCGGCCCCGGCTTTCTGTCTGGCCCATTTTCTGCTCCCTGCTTGAAGCAACCCAGCTTCCAGATGCCCGCCACTTCCTGCCCCAGCCTGTGAGAACTCTGGGGAGGGCTCCCTTCCTCGGCCTGGCATTGCGTTTCGCAGTGCTTTCCCTCGGAGGCCTTCTGTCACCAACTCCCTCTCCCCAGGATGAAGGAGTAGCTCACCTGACCTGGGAACCTGGGGGGAAAGCCACCATCTGTGGCCTAGCTGTTTTGAAAGCCCCTGCTTCCTCAAGGCCACCACAGAGGCTTTCACAAGGCCGTGACCTCAGAAGGCAGGCTCGCCCTGCAGACACAGCCGCTGGATGCCTGCACGGCCTGAACTTGCGCTCACTGGAAAGCCTGGTCTCTGCCTACCCATTGGCTATCTCTTGAATCTTGTTATTCTTCAACTGGTTCCCAGCTTGGAAGAGAAAGGCAAGGTTGCTAATTTCAAATCCCCAGACGGCCACCGTGGTTCTGTGTTTTCACATCTCTAGCACGGCCTCTACGTGGGGGCTCTCCCGCTCCTCTGAGCTGGCCGCGGTCAACCTCCAATCAGGAGCCACCAGCCCGAAGGCGCTGACACAGCTCCCTGAATCAACTCACCCACGATGGCCTCGGGCTCTCTAAATGCATGGGCCTTTTTGTCCTTCACTAATCTCAGGGGTAATCATCGAGGTCTGTATTTTTATTGTCATTCGTCTACTATACTGTTGTTTGACTTCTTAGATGTTCTTGTCCTCTCTCTCCTATTGGGTCACAGACTCCCCAAGGGCCAAGGTCCAGCCCAGTGCCTGGCACACAGGAACGGAACCCCCCTGCCTCCTGGTGAGAGCAGGCAGGCTGCTTTTAGGTGCCATGCGGGGCCACGTCGATAACCTGGAGGCTCAGGCGGCCCGGCAGGTGGAAAGGACAGCAGGGGGCCACACTCACGCGATCTGCAGGGCGCGGGTGCCCAGCACACGGGCTCGCTCGTACTTGGTCATGTACGGCGTGGTGATGCGCTTCTGGTTGGCCTGCGGTCGCTCTCCGGAGGGGAGGATCTCGACATTCTCCTGGCCCTCCTGGACACCAAGGCAGAAGAGAGGACATCTCAGGGGTCACGTTAGTGAAGGGAAGGGGAGGGTGACGATAGTTATAACCACCACTACCACTACCACTACTGCTTATTACGTGCCAGCGACCTTGCAACTGCCTTACTGACAGCTTATTCAACCCGCACGACCACCTGATGAGGTAGGGATTACAGGGCCACTTTAGAGGCTTGGAGAGTTGGCTGACTTGGCCAAAGTCTCGGACCTGGTAAAAGAAAAGAATCATGAGCGGACTCCAAAGCCAGCTGCCTCATCCAGAGAGAGCGGCAGAGGGGAACGCTGGCCCCCCGCGAGGAGTCCGGGAGCACAGACAACACAGCGCCCTAGGCAGGAAGCGAGGGACAAGCGTCCCATCCTCAGGTAGGGTAACTGAGTCCACGGGTCAAGTGGCCAGAAGGGCAGAGCGAAGGCAGAAACATACCAAATATTTTTTTCATATATATATCTCTCTCTCTCCATGTATTTAACAATTACTGATTAAGCATCTGTCATATGCCGGATATCATAAAAGCTAAGTTTCTGCTCTCAAAGAATTCATGGTCTGGGAGGAGACAAAAATAAACAAAATAGGTGCTTTGAAGATATGCAAGCATGCAAGAAAGTTAACAAGAAGATGGGGGACACCCAACTCATGCAGCGGGTGAGGACAGTCCGGAGATGAGACTTGAGCTCATCTAGAAGGAGCAGGAGCTTCCAAGCCAACGAGGAAGGGAAGGGCATTCCAGGCTGGTTGGATTGCATGTCCGAAGGACAGGGGATGGAGAGAATGTGCGGGGTTTAGATACCTAATGGTGGGGCCTAATTAGAGCAGAGGTGCACGTAGGGTCGTGGGCATGAGAATCAATTCTATCATAAAGAATCAGGTTGGTGAGCTCTCTCTGGAGCACATGTATACCCTTCTTCCCCCTCAGGTGTGCGTCTGTACTTTCCCCTCCTAAACTCTGAAGGTCCCCGTGAGCCTTGCAACCAGGGGAGCAGTGGGCACTGGCAGCTCGTCCCCTGAACCTGTCCAAGGCCCCTTTTCTCCGTCGTCAGCAGCCCCGCTCTGGCCCGCTGCTTTCCTGTAACTTTTCTGGGGAGCAAAGCAGAGCACCGCATGGGCTCTCTCCTGTTTCCTCTTCTACCCTAAGCCCTTCCTTGTTTCACTGTCCTCAGCTTTAGTAAATGTGTTCTCAAAATAAAAAGAAAGAGTTAAGTCAAAAAATATTTTTGGAGTGCTTACTACGTATCAGGTAGTGCACAGCAGTAAGATATAAAAATTCTTCCCCCACAGAGCTTATATTATAATGAGAAGAGAGAAACAATAAAACTAGTAAGGAAAATGTGTAGTATGGTAACAGAGAAAAAAGACAGGAAGTGCCAGGGCAGCGGTGTGGGAGGGGCGGGAGAACGCTGCAGTTTTAAACAGAAAGGTCACAGAAGGCCGCACGGAGGTGACTCGGACAAAGGCCTGAAGGAGGCGGGAAGCAGGTCACGTGGGTGTCTTAGGGAACGGTGCTCCTGGAAGAGGGAAGGGCACGACTAGAGCCTAAGTAGGAATCTGCCTGGCATGGCAGGGGCAGCAAGAGGAGATAAGGTCGCAGAGGGAGCAAGTGGCCAGGTCCTGGAGAACTTTGTACATCTTTATGGTGTTTACTCTGAATGAGATGGGAAGCCACCAGATGAAGACTCTGAGCAGAAGGCAGACACTTAACATTTAACACTTAATATTGACTTAACATTTAAAATGACCACTCCGGATGCTCTGTAGGGCCAAGGCCAGAGACAAAGAGACCATTTTTAGGAAGGCCACTAGTAATCAATCATGTCGGCAGGTAAGAAAGATGGCGCTGGCAGCAGAAAGGTGAGCAGGGCAGACTGATGGCAGGAAAGCCAGGGACACAACTTCTGCAGTGACGCTGGTGAAAAGCATTAAAGATCTAAACCAGGCTGGGCACCAGGGATGTAGAAAAGGGGACCAGAAGGATGGAGAAGTTGTTTCTGACACAGTGAATGGGTACCTGAGAGATATGCAGAGAGAAAATCAAAGAGAGGCTTTGGCTTCCTAGCCTAAAAAAATCAAGGAACCGCTCTCTAGGAGACATAAGCACTTCCTCCTCCATCAGTCACACAAGAGAGAAAGGCCCATTTCACTCATGAAGCTGGCAACCCATCCTCCTAGTTAGTTACTCAAGCCAGAAAGCCAGGAGCCACCCTTGTCACCGCCCACCTTCTCCTCCCCGTAGCCAACCCACCAGAGTATTTCTCTCATCTGTTCTCTCATCACTGAGACTGGCCGTGCTCAAGTCCAAGTGGCAGGTCTCTCCCCTGGGGGCCTATGAGCGTTCCCTAGTTGGTCTCTCTCTTTCACTCTTGTTCCTCCCCAATGTGATCTTTACTCTGAGACCAGAATGCCCTTTCTAAAATGCAAACTAGGCCCTGGCTGGTGTGGCCCAGTGAACTGAATACCGGTCAGCAAACTGAAAGACCGCTGGTTCGAGTCCCGGTCAGGGCACACTCCTAGGTTGCAGGCCAGGTCCCAGCTGGGCACGTGCAAGAGGCAACCAATCTATGTTTCTCTTGCACATCAATATTTCTATCCTTCTCTTTCTCCCTCCCTTCCGTTCTCTCTGAAAATAAAAATAAAAATCTTTAAAAAAAATTAAAATAAAATGCAAATGGGAACATGCCATGCCTGAGCTCAAAATCTGTCAGTGGCGTCCACTACCTTTTGGCTATGAAACCTGCTTGATGTGGGCCCTTACCTCTCCAGCTTTATCCCAGGTCACTATCCCCCTTGTCCCCGTGCAGCCCCACCCAGCAAAACACCTGGCACATAATAAACATTCAACACATTTGTTGAATGAATGAAGGTGACACTTCACCCATCAGTGAACTAACTGTCCCAGAAGCCATGGGCTGTGACCAAGTGGACAAAAGCCTTCGGGCCCACCCTGCAGGGCGTCTCCAGTGCCCGACTGAACTCAGTTCACTCTGACTGGGGGTGCTCGTGGCAGGAGCTCTGACCGCAAACAGGAGGCAGGTGCACTTGGGGAACTGTCACCGGCCTGGTTATCTGGCAGCCTGGGCTGCAGGGTGGGGAGCCCAGGGCTAACTACTGACCTCCTCAGCGTTCTCCAAGTCATCTAGTCCTTCATCCTCCTCCACGTCATCAAAGTCGTCGCCATCAAAACTGTATGAGAACAGGCCAGTTAGTTAGAGCATCACTTACGAGAATCTAAAAGGGCAAGGGAGTGTCTCATCCGATATTTAGGAGGTGCTCAATAAATATGTACTTAATCAGTGACTCAAACTTGTGCTTCACTTTACTCCTTCAAACTTACCCCCACTGGCCCCCGAATTTGCTAGGACTCCTTCGTCATCACTGTTTCTTTTCTCTCTCTACTGGACCATTCCCATTTGCATATAAACATGTATTATTACCTCACGACCTTAAAAAACAAAATTTCTCCATTCTCTCCCCACAGAGCCCTGCTTTCATGCTCCCATTGGGAGCAAAATTCATGGAAGAATTGTCCGACGTCACAGCTCCCACTCTTCCCATTCTGTCATAATTTTGCTTCATCAAAAGCACTCCTTCTTTCGAGTGTGTTAATATTTTCCATGGGGGGGTGCAGGGGACCTAATATATGGTGACGGAAGACGGTTTGACTTTGGGTGGTGGGCACACAGTGCAATATATAGATCGTGTATAATAGAAATGTACACCTGAAACTTACACGATCCTCTTAACCAAAGTCACCCCAATAAACTTAACAAAAATAAATCAATCCAGTAAACTGTTCTTGTTCTCATTTAGCTTGATCTATCAGCTGGCAAACGAGACCACTCACTCTCCCTCAACACACTCTCCTCACTTGACTGTAAGGATGCCTCGCTCCCTTGCCGTCTCCCCACCCCACTGCTGCTCCCTCTCGGTCCCCTTGGCCAAGCACTGCTGTTGGAATGCTCTAACCCTCAGCCACCTCCTCTTCTCGACTGACACCCCCCGATGATCTCACCTGTTTCTTAGTTTTGTCCAATATGCTTATGCTGACCATATCCCGATTTTTATTTTCAGAACAGACCTCTCCTTGGACCCCATGCATCAGAAGATAATTTTGGCCTTAGCTTCCAAATAAATCCAGAATTCAAAACCACTGCTCACCACCTCTACGACTACCCCCCTAGTACAAGCCACTACCTTCTCTCGCCCAGGCGACCACAACCCTTCCAGGCCTTTCTCACCTTGAAGTCTCACTAGGCCCTCTTCAGAAAGCACTTCTACACAGAAAGTCCTCACTTAACATCGCAGATAGGCTCTGAGACGTTAAGTAAAACAGTGCATGATGAAGTCCATTGTACCATAGGCTGATTGATATAAACCGGCGTTAAGTTCCTACACCATCTCATCAACGTTGGAAATAAACGACGTTATTCGAGGGCCTCCTGTACTACATGCTTCTACTGCCTGACCTCACACGATGCTGTCTTAACCTGTTGATGCGCCGGTCCCTCTTCTGGAAAGGGAGCACGTGGGACTACGCCTAACACACCTCAATATTCCCAAAACAAGACCCAGGGCCCGGCTCAGTGGACGTTCGCTGGAAGACACCTAGCCCTTCTGTGCGCAGCCCCTAGCTACGCTTTTGCACCCCCGTTCCCCCGCCCACCCCCGCCCTTCCCTGCTCCAGGTCTGAGGGCTCCTTCGGCAGCCCTAATCCCCTAGACGTCTGGGTCCTCAGCCGCCTTCGACCCAGGCTCCCGCTTCACTCGCCTCTTCCGAGAATCTGCAAAGGCCACTTTATCTGCACTCACTTGTCCTCGTTGTCTGACATCACGCCCGCGTCGCAGAGATCCGGCTCCGCGGTCCAGACCTACGCGGAAACCCGCGAACAGCCTCGGCTTCCCGCAGCTGCTCGCGTACACGCTACGCCTGCGCCAAGACCCGGAAGGAGTCACTTCCAGGAGGCCGGCCAGCGCTGTGGGTGTGCGCATGCGCCAAGGAGCAAGCGCTTGTTACCATGGTAGCCAGAGCGTCCCGCCGCCGGCCCCAGCGCGTAGCGGCGGCAGAATCTTAGATACGGTCTACCGAGACCAGCCGCCGCTCTCTGTAGGGGGACCCACCCAGCCGGGGTCTTACTTTAGGGTGAGGTTTCAATTTGGGCGTAATACCCAACGGGCACGTGTCGTGACCACGGCTATCTTAAGGTCCCCTTCCTAGGGCCTTCCCTGCCACAGGCACCGGGTCAAGATGAGGTCTCAGTTCGTGAGTGTATCTATCTGCCTGTGTATCTGTTTGGAGTGGAAGGATCCGACACTGTCGTGATAGTGACAAGCAATGTCGCTCCCAGACTTTGCTGGTGTTGGGGGTCTGGTGCGGGAGTAGAGATTGAACCTGTGAGACCGGATGTGTCATTGCGTTTTTTCCCTCCTCAGAGCCCTCCCATGGCTTCACCGGAGAGGGTGGAGGCAGTGGCCAAAGGAACGGGATTCCGGCGCTGCCCCAAGCAGGCCACTTACACCCCTGAGACCTGTGAGCTCCTCAGAGGTCAGTGCGCTGAAAGGGCGGGGGAAGAGCCATGGGAACAGTTACCCTCTGAAACTCAGGCCTCCCCCACGTGACCTGTGGCTTAGCAATTGCTATTTTCATTTTATGAATGAGAAGCCTTGGGCTCAGAAAGGTTCCGGTCCTGCAACTTGCAAGTGGCCGAAAGTCAAAGAACTAAGAATTTTAGGGGCAATAACTCCTGTGCCTCCCTTAGGGCACATTTTCAATTCCCTCCTAGGAAGCCTTATATCCTCCCCACCCACCACCACCGCGGAAACAACTGTGATTTGTCTTCGCACTACCAAATATTACCTTGTTCTCCACTGGGCTGAGCATAACCTGCAATCAGATATCTAGTGTGTCCCATTGGGTCAGTATTTATCTACCCTCCTGGCCTGTGAATTTCACCAGGGCAGGGCTGTTCCTGCTTTCCCTCCCTATTGTAGCTCCAGCATCTGACACGTGCTTAACGGATGCTTCTTTCATTCATTCATTCACTCAATGAAAAAAATTTTAAAGCCCACTATGTGCTTTAGACATTGAGCTAGGTGCTGAGGGTACGGCATAAAAAAGGCCAACACAGCAAAAAAAAAAAAAAAAAAAAAAAAAATTGTTCCCTCATGGAGCTAATATTTTAGTAGGAGGGTAACAAATAATATATGAATAAAATCCATGGACTCTCAGATGGGGATGAGTGTTACAGACAAAAATGGAGCCGGGGAGGAAGGGAGGGAGGGCTTGCACACAGAATGGTGGAAGGAGGTGACAGAACTTGAAATTTCAGTGGGGTAAGATGGAGGCTCCAGCCTGCGGCCCAGGAGGCCTCACTGAGGCGCTTTGTCTTGCAGTGATGATGAAGGAGTCCAAGCTGACTCAGTTCCAACAGCGCCACATCATGGACACCATGCAGAGTAAGCGCCGGTCCACAGAGGCTTCCTGCGTGGAGGGAGTGGGGCCGTGTTTTTAATACTCCTCCATATCAGGGAGCAGAGGGCATCATATGAAAAGATCAGAATAGTATAGCATAATATTTTTTTATCTTGCCCCTGGGGAGTTGACCTTGAGGGGTCTTCGTTATTTCCCCCGGACATGGGTCCTGGCACAACCACAAGCCTCCTGCGTAGCCAACCTTCCCAGGAAATCACAGAGCCGTCAAAACTTCCTGCCCGGCCAAGATCATCCCCAAACTGTCATGTCTGCAATCTGTCCCTTCCTGTTAACACACGTACTGTTTGAGCTCTCCAGAGGAGAGGACCGTACATGTGTCCTGCTGTTTTATTCGTTCATAGCTTAGCTACCAGAAACAAGAAAATGGGCAGAATTGCAACTTAGGAAGCCTATGCAACGCTTTTCCACAGCTCACTTCTGACCACACATTGTATTATTTATTTTTAAGGAAAACAAAAAAGTGGCCATACATGGGCACAACCATCTCGAAAGCAACCTCAGTCTCTGAGGTTTAACCGAATCCACATTTAGTGGCTCAGAACAGAGACCTGTAAAGCGGCCTTTAAGAGGGAGAGCAGCAGAGCAAGCCTGCCCAGTTTTACTTGACTCTGTTGAAAGCTACGACCTTCTGTCAGCAGGGCATCTGATCAGCCCCAGAAGCACAGGGAAGGGAGTCAGAGACACACATGTGGCAGTGCCTCTTCAGCTCTGGCTGGCAGGGGGAGGCTCCCTCAGGCCAGGTCAGGGGTCAGATATCCTTCCTTACTGTGGACAAGGACAGCGCAGGCTGCCAGAGCCTAGTGCCATAACACATCTGAATCACAACTCAGTCTCTACACTCAGCAGTATACTAATAAACTGGTGTCGCCTGTAGCACGATTACAGAGAGACTATCCCAGATATTCCACGAGAAGTAAAGACCAGGAGACCACAGATTACGTCTGTCTTGTTCACCATCATAGTCCCAGCACCTAGGTGCTATTTATTGAAGGACTAATCACATTGGTGGTGAGGCCAACACAAAACACCTGGAAGTGTTTTTCCCTTTGGAAGTTTTTCTGGTTTTGTTTTTTTAAGATTTTATTTATTTATTTTTAGAGAGAGTGGAAGGGAGGGGGAGAAAGAGAGGGAGAGAAACATCAGTGTGGTTGCCTCTCACACGCCCCCTACTGGGGACCTGCAATCCAGGCATGTGCCCTGACTGGGAATCGAACTGGCTTAGTTTGCAGGCCGGGACTCAATCCACTGAGCCACACCAGCCAGGGCAGAAGTTTTATTTTATTTTTTTAAATTGCCTCCAAGCATTGGTGTAGAGTCTGCTTTCTTCTAGAATCTCCTCTTAACCAAGTCCTACTGTTGTTTTGAGCTTTAGTTCAAATTCTATTGCAAGCCACAAATTTCTCTCCTTCCCCTGAACTCCCAGAACTACTGAGGCCATAATTATTTGCTGAGAATGGGCCAAAGGAACAGGGAGCATTGGCACTGGACAGGCGGGGACAGGGAGTGGAGGGAGCAGGAGGGACATTCTGGGAAGCACAGCATCTCTCTAGAAACGAGAGATGCACAAAGCCGTGGCTGCAGGTAGAGGGCGTGAGGAGGGGTCAATGGGAAATACTGGCAGCTCCATCCTTCCAGTTCCTCAGGGCAGGCACCTCGGTCATGGCTCCTCACCTCCCAGACCCCACAGCTGACCCATCAGCTAGCCCATTGCTTGACCTTCCAGCCATACCCAACTCGGACCGCCTCTGCCCTTGGGCCGCAACACTGCATTTGCAACAGCAGCCAAGGGGGTCCGATCACTCCTCTGCTCAAAGCCCTCCAGTGGCTTCCAACCTCACACAAAGTAAGAGCCCATCTTTCCAGAGGCCTATGAGGCCCTGTACTCCTTGTCTTCCATGACCTCTGACCTCTACGCCCACTACACCCCCTTGCTCGCTCTTTTCCCTGCACCCTAGCCTCTTAGCTGTTCCCGAACACTCCAGGAGCATTCCCACCTCGGGGCCTTTGCTCTAGCCGTTCCCTAAGCCTCAGATGCTCTTCCTTGAAGCATCTGCGACGCTGGCCCCTCACCACCGTTGGGCCTTTTCTCAAATGTTACCCTCTTCACGATTTAAATTGTAAACCCTGCTGTGACAAACTCTGTGCTCCGTCACCTCACATTCTACATGCGGGCATTTTCCCTCTTCCACAGCCCCACGTGCTGGCGCTGCCAAGGCAGGACTTTGTCTCTCTCACTACTTCCCCTCCATGTGCTCGGCCTGGCACAGAGTAGGTGCTCATTAGGTGTTTGCTGGGAGGATGAGAGAAGAAGGCTGAGAAGGAGGAACAGGTAGACAGGGGCCAGATCCAAGCAGGGGGCGGGGCCTGCTCTGAGCTGGGCTTTAGGGAGACTGAGGGGAGGGGCCAGTCAACCGGATAGGAGGCCGCACACGTGGCTGGCCTGGTGGGGGAGCCCCAGGTCCAGCAGAGGCAGTGGGGATGGAGAGTAGGAAGGAATCTATTACCACCCAAAGCAGCCCTCCTTACCCAGGGCCAAGCAGGTGTTAGGAATCTACCTACAGAAATAAAAGCACCAGTACGAAGGCTTGATGTACAGGAATGTTTACTGTAGCATTATTTGAAGTAGTAAAAAAATAACAAAAACAGCCTGAATTTCTGGAACTGAGAGAGTAGTTAAATATATAATGTAGCCATTGTAAGGACCAGTACACAGCGTAAAAAAATGAGTTATATATAAATGAATTGATCTGGAAAGATAGGATGAATGGTTAAGAGTCTATTACTAGATGTAACACAGTATGGTCCACTGTTTGAAAAACGAATCTCACATATGCACACGTATCTTTGAACATGTTGATATAGGCATCAAAAAGAATGGACTGAGGCCACCAAATTGTTACCACGGCTCATTTGGGGGGGGGGGGGCGTTGGAAGGGAAGGCCCTTCTGTACTGTTAGCCTTGTTGTAACAGGCAGGCACCACTGTTATAAACTGAAATAAAAAGCCAGCCGGTCCCCGCACCCCCACCTTTCTTTCCCAGGAGGAGACACTCTGCCCCTGCACTGCAGCCCCACATGCAGCCAGAGGCGGCTGCCCACCCAGCAGCCGGCTCCGGCCCTCTGCCTGCCTCCCATCCTGGAGGCCCGGGCCCACCTCCGGCCTGCCAGCCTGTGCCAGGCCAATGGGGCCTACAGCCGCGAGCAGTTCAAGCCTCGAGCCACCCGTGAGTAGGAGGGCCTTGACTAGACCCCCTCTTCTCTGTCCGTCCACAAGGGGGTGAGGGGCACGGGGAGGTGACCAGCCCACAGGGCAAGTGAGCACCTGTCTAATCAAATTCCCCCAGTTTATACCGATGCTCTTGAGCCTTGGCACGTTAGCTGGGGGGTGTTGGGGTGCCAGGGAAACAAGTTAGGTTGTCCTTTTTCAAAATTTTCCCAGAATGCTCTTTTACAATCAACTGGATTCGGCCACTCTGATGAATGGCTGACTGTCAGACCTCACGACCACTGCTCAAGCCTGCACAGTGCCTCGAATCCAGAGCTTTCTGCCCCCAGCCTACCTCAGGGAGTCGTTCACCCGCGTCCTCTTTGGCACTCGACACGACCCTTGGCTCAGACCTCTCCACACTCCGCACAGCCCCAACACACGGGTTGCTACATGGCGGCCACTGAGCTTTCTTAGCCTTGCTCTGTGTCAAAGCAGCGAGTGGCTTTTGACAAAGGTCTCTTCTTGGTGCTTTCAACCCCTGTTGCTGCCCGTCTTGACACAACGGGCTCAGGAGCACCCTGGGGAGGAGGTGCCGGGATGGCAGAAGCCCGCTACATGTCACCCCGCGCCTTGGAGTGAGCATGCCTGCTGGGGAACACTGTCCATGAATGGGGGTGCCCGTCACGCCTTAAGAAGGCTTTTCCTGGGCCTTACAGGAGATCTGGAGAAGGAAAAGCAGAGACTCCAAAATATCTTTGCCACAGGGAAGGACAAAGGGGAACGGAAAAGAAAGCCCCCTCCTATAAAGCAACAAAAGGACCCAGCCCCAGAGCTGGACCGGTTTGAAGAGCGTAAGCCACCAATAGCCCACTTATGCTGGGGAGGGGCGTGGGGCGGGGCCAGAACCGGGGGCGGGGCCAACTAGCGAGAAACGGTGCCTGACCACAGAACTGCTTCCTCTCCCCGAGAGGTGACCCCTGTCCCCACCAGCCCTCCCAGGAGCCTGATGAGCCCCTATTGCCCTGTGCGATGACAGTCCTTCTCCCTGTCCAGTGGTCAAGGAAATTCAGGAGAGGAAAGAGTTCCTGGCTGACATGGAGGCCCTGGGGCAGGGCAGACAGTACCGGGGGATCATCCTTGCTGAAATCTCCCAGGTAGGAGAGCAACAGGCCAGTGGGAGGGGACGCAGCCACCACGAGGTGGAGTATGAAATGGAGGGTCAGCGAGGTTGCGGTTTGGGGAGTCCAGCGGTAGCCTCCTATCTCTGCGGGCTCCCGGCGTTCCTCCCGATACCCAGCTTCCCCTCCTGCCCTTTGCAGAAGCTACGGGAAATGGAAGACATTGACCGCCAGAGGAGCGAGGAACTTAGGAAGGCTCTTGTCCCTGCTTAATCTGTCTCCAGAGACGGGGTGGGAGTAGCCCAGCCTCGACCAGTGGGGCCCACCCCCTTGCCAAGCAGGGTCATTTCCAGGTCAGCCCACTCACCTTGGCCTTCAGCCATGTCAAGTGGCCATACAGCACTGCCCTGGCCTAGGGTTCCCCGCACACAGACACAGACCACGTCAGAGAATGAGCTGGTTCTCTTCAGGGCTGTGCCCAGGGATCCTGGGTCACCTGTGCCAGAGACCCAGTCACAAATACACACACACACACACACACACACACACACACACACACACACACCCTCTTTGAGTCTTTTCTTGGGGAAAAGCAAGGCTTGAGTTTCACCATCTTGGGCCAATGTCCAAGGGCTTCCCATGGGCCCTGTCCCCACCATCTATCTCCACCCCAGCGTGTGTCCCTGCATTTAGTTTCCTGAGCTTAGCAATGAATATGATTCCTTTCTTTCTACCTGTCTTAGTACCTACTTATTTGACTTTCAGCCTTAGGCTAGTGTTTAACCACCATGATTAACTGGTCAATAAAACACATTTAATGCGTGTCATTACACACACTGCTCTTTTCAGAGGGATAAGGCTTATTTGTTCAAGGAGTTTGAATTTTTCAAGCATGTTTCTAGCTGTTGGCATATTTCAAGTGGAAATGAGAAGCAACGCTCCTGGAGCACCCTGGGCCAGGCGCCGGGGTTCGTGCTGAGTTTCATGTGCAGTTAATTTTCTTGGTAACCCCCGCAGTGGTTCCTCACCCGTGTGGAAACGGAAGCTCACCAAGATGTATAGGCGAGGTCATTTCACCAGCAAACAGCCGGCTCAGGATTGAAAATTAGCTTTTACGTCTTCCCACTGAGTCCGCCCACCGGAAGAAATGCAAAGGGCGGGGAAGGAGCCAGACTGAGAACCCTGGCTTTGGCATCGGATCCCAGCCTGTGCGGTGTGAGCCTGGGTGCCCCCCACCCCCGCCTCAGCTCTGACTGCCGGTCTGCAAGGCCCAGCCTCAAACGGGGCACCTGCCCACAAGGCAGCCCTGGGCCTGGCATGGAGCACAAGGCAGCCCCACGCTCTCCAGTGTTCTGCCACTTTCCCATCTCCCTAAGTCAAAATATTGTGGAAATTTCAACCAAGCTTCCCACCTGGAGGGATTCATATACTCCTACAGGCCACGTGACCTAAGTTTTGGTTTACAGAGTAAACTCTGCTTGCAGCCTAGAACGGAGGAGAGGGTCCCAGGTCATGAACATTCCATGGGAAGCCTGTGTCCACACCCCCCCCCCAAAACCTGAGGCCAGAGAGTGCCTCATGACAAGGACAGCAGTCCTCCACTTCAAAGGCCCCACCGCACGGCCCACAGGCAGCAACCTGGAGAACCCCAGGATAAATTCAGCCTCCCCTTGATTTAAATTCAGATTAATTACCCACATTTACAAACCAAACACACACACACAATCTGGATTTCTAGCTTCTTTTTAAAAATGGAAAGATCTGACGGCACTGGGCCACCTCCCCGCAGGCTACAGCCGACTTAAGGAGGAACGTCCCCCTTCAGTTGTGGCATAGACACACCCCGGTTCCCCCCAGTCCCCACCACCCAAGTCTTCTGACACGGAAACAGCCTCATGGGGCCGTCCCTCAGCTGACAACCCAGCCCGGTCCTGGCATCCTGGCCTCTGAAAGGCCCTGGAGTTGGTGATGCCAGCTCCATATCCACAGGCAAGTTTGGGCAGCAACCGCCAGGTGCTGCGGGGGCAGGCGCAGCCTCTCCCTGCAGGGCGGAGTCCTGCCCCACGTCAGGTGGGGCGCCCGAGGGCTCTGCTGGTGGGCAGCCCCATGTGCCGCCTGGGCCAGCAGGGATGCCTGGCCCCAAGGTGTGGTGGAGGCAGACCTGGCGGGGGAAAAGCACCCCAAGTCTGCAGGCCCCCAGCAATGAGGTGGTCTCCATTTACTGTTAGTGAGGCAGAACCCCCCGAGTTAATTCAGTGCGATCTTCCCCCAGAGGGGTGCCGAGGGAAGGGGGCCCTCAGGGTGCCCCAGAAATAGCTTATAGCGACAGTGCTTCGACCAAGAGCTGCTGGGCACAGTCCCTGGGGAAAAGGCATTGTCCCCATTGGCTCCTCCTACACAGGAATGGGCCCACCATCCCTGGAGCGGGGGACCTCAATGAGGCGTCAGACTACAGTGTGTTGAAGAACCAGGATTAGCACCTGCATAAAGCATACCCCCCTCGGTAGATCAGGAACCAGAGACCCTCGCTGGGGGACTCGGCACTGGGGCGCCCACCCACCCAGGGCAGCCGTCATGGCCCAGTCCCGGAGCCACTTCCTACAGAGCAAGGAGGGGTGAGGGAGGAGCCTCCCAGAACTTAGAGACAGGGAGCGTTTTGTCCATCAGGCGCGTTCATGGCTGAGGACACAGTCACTGAACAAACTTAGAGACTTCATAAATAGAGCTCCTGAGTGAGGAGAAACAGATCCAGGGCCGCCTGCCCACGACTGGAAGACGGACTCAGGGCCAGGGCCAGGGCCAGGGCCGGGGCGGGACGAAGCCAGAGCAGCCAAGGCCTGCCCGGTGGCCTGCCGAGAGGAGCAGAACCCTGGAGGCAGGGGACCCACGGGCAGCCCTTGCACTGGAAGCACCCGCGGATCAGAACTTTGGCAGCTAAGAATCCCATCTGGACATGACCGAGGGAAGGAGGACCAAGGAGCTGCCTGTCACAGCAGGTGCCAGGTGGGACGAGGGGCAGACACTGCCGCTCCCTGGACCAGACCCCTGCTTGCTCCTCGGGTCCATCGCAGCATCTGAAGTCATCAGAACCAGAAGGACAGGGCTGAGCCAGGAAGGGGTGGGTGGCAGTGCCCCTGCTGTTAGCTCTTGTCCCCGGGGCACTTGCTCTTGGTGTCACGCTTGTTTCCTAGCAGCTTCAGCACCTTCATGGTCTTGAACTTCCCCTTCTTCCTGCCCTCGGATTCAGCCTCCTTCTGGAACTCTGCAGGAGAGAAAGGGGAGTCTCAGCAACATGGGGATGGGGAGTCAGTCGGCGCAGGCCAGGGGTAGTGACGGAGGCCTAGGAGTGCCAGGCCGCAGGGGCTGGGCCCAGCTCCTGTGCCGCCCGCTGGGGAGCCCCGGGCATGTCGCTTCACCTCTCGGAGTCCCTGGTTCTACAGGGTGGAAACCATGCCCTCTCCCAGGGTTTTGACACAGATCTGAGATAAAGGCATGAATTTATCTTTCACAGTCTGATTCCCTAGGCTGCTGCTCACAGCTCCGTGGGTTACAATACAAATGCTGACTATTGGAGCTAGAAGGACCCTCAGAAATCACCTCTTCTGGCCACTAATTGTACAGAGGAAGAAAACATAGGTTTGAAATGGACTAACACCCACTGAGCTCTCTGTGGGTGCCAGGCCCCGGCGAAGTGCTTTACACACATTGTCCCAGGAACCCTCGGCACACGCCCGGGAGGTGGGGCTTCCTGCACCCCCATTCCACAGGCCGGGTGAGTCAGGCCCAGAGGGTGAAACTGCTGGTTCAAGTCACCCACAGGAAACACCGGAGTTGGGACTGGAACCCTAGCAGCCTGACTGGAGGCCAGCCTTAGCCGCAAGGCCACAAAATGAGTCACGGGTGGAACCAATGCTAAGCCCAGGTCTCTGACTCCCCGTGTAGTGCTCTTTTAACTGTTCCAGGCACTGCCTTAGCCACGGTAGGTCCTGCTCGTTGAGGCCACAGACTCTCCCAAGGCCAGCTGCAGATGTCCAGGAGGGATGCAGGGCTTAAGGCAAACCACCCTGGGAAAATGCTCACTGGGACCAGAGTCCTCCCTGGGCCCCGGGGCATCCCACCCCCTTCCCCAGGCCCAGCCCCAGGCTTCCTGGCTCCAGGCCGGCCTGCTTTGCCACACGTAGACTTCCCAACAAGGCGGAAGCTGGGCGTTGGCACACGCCATCCTTGTAGCGCCCGCTCCAACGCTGCCCCCAACCTCCAGGAGATCAAACGGGCCAGCTCACCTTTCTTCTTGATCATGGCTTCCAACATCTTGTCTTCCTCTTCCTCCCTGAAACAAGGAAGGAAAGCTAATTGACCCACAGGAGGGAGGGCCAGAAAGTCTCCCAGTCCTGCACAGCCTCCCGCAAGGGTGCCTCGGGGTCGCTGGCCGGGGCGCAGGGCTGGCCTGCCCTGCTCTGGGCCCCTCCCCCAAGAAGCCCCCAGGGGGAGCCCCCAGAGGACTGTCACCTCTGCCGGTCCTCGTCCAGGCAATTGACGATGGCATTGCGCTGCTCGATGAGGGTCACAATCTCCTGCATCAACACCTTCTCCCGGCCCCGGTCCTCCTCGGTCCAGTCTTTTTCTGTCCCAGGAGAAGGGTTGGGGGGGTGAGTGGTCGGAAAACCCGGAGGCCAGGAAGCAACACCTGAGCGCTACATTTGGAGAACAGTGAGGAGGCTCCCAGAGGGGTAGGCATCACAAGTTTTTGGAAAAATGAAGGTTATTATAGAAGAGACCAAGGACACTAGGCTGCCTACCAAAAACGCCAGTCTTTCAGGGAGCTCTGGGAGGGCCAGTGCCGCACCCATTCTGAGAGCAGAGCCCAGGGCACACCGGGCGCTCTGCTGCTTCCGTCCGCTCGTTCATCCGTTTGCTCATTCACTCATTCACTCATTCAGTGTTTGTGGTGGTCTCCTACAGGCGGCAGGATTCGGGCGGGGCCTTGTGAGAGCCTCCAAAGGCGGGCTGGCCAGTGGGGGTGGGGTGGGGAAGAACAGGGGACCCCCGGGGTCCTCATGCAGGAGAAGCAAAGTGGCCCACATATTGGGACATTCATGCCACAAAGGAGGGCAGGCCGGAGGGGACCCTGGGAGCGGGGGACCCAGCCAGGAGGTGTCCCTGATGTCATGCACCTGCTGCTCCTCCAGCATCCTCTCAAGAACCCTCAAGGACCTCCCTTAGGGGTCCGCCTGCCCCCAGTATCCCTCTAGCCCAGCCCCCGGGCCCCCAGGGAACGGACGGACGCCCACACCTGGCCTTCCCTCCACAACATCTGCTGCCACAGGTCTCCCAGTTTTGAAACAGGGACCTTGAGGTCCCCTCAGCCATGTCCCTACTTCCTACCACCTCACCTTGCCACAACTCAGGAGCAGATGACCCAGCCTAATTCTGGGGACAGCATGGGCTTCAGAGTCACCGCCCCAGTTCAAGTCCCTATGCCGCACCTTCAAATGTGGGGCCTAGGTAAATTATGCTGCCAGTCTACGTGTGGGGAAACTGAGGCTCAGGGAAGTGAGTCCTTGGCCAGTGTCACACAGCAAAGACAGAGCCAGGATTTGAACCTAGGCAACCTGATACCCTGAAGCCCCAGCCCTTATGGCAACTACAGGTCTCCAACCGCTTGGGGCCTTATAAACCAGTCTCCCTCTGCAAAGGCAACCTCTGGGGCGGGATGACAAACCCAGGCTGTGCTGCCACCACGCCAAGCGCTAGAGAAGCAACCCAAGAAGCCCAGAGCTGGGCTGGCCGGGGCACCCAGGGGCGGGGCCCGCTCTGGCTACAGGGTGTTGCTGTGTCTCCCTCTGAGTGGCAGCCACACCCAGCCGCCTGGGAGATTTGGGGGTGACTACTGACAGCAGCGAAAGGCTGGGACTTTCTATGGCTTCCCCGGGGACACCCCGCCTGTGGGTGTTATCCCGCTTCCCAACCGCCCCAGTCAATGGGAAGGCAGGGCCACCGTCCCTGCTGCAGGAGGGACTGTGTCTACAGGGAGGGGCCCAGGTCCCCCACCAGTGGGCAAGGCTCTGGCTCTCCAGTTCCTCATATGCAAAATGGGAACAATGGTGCCCACCACCTGGGCCACAAGCCGTGGTCAAGGGACCTGGCTCCGCAGTCCCGTGGTTTCTTAGCCTGCAGCCGCGGCTCACACCATGTCGTGGCCACAGACCGCAACTCGGCCGCACGTAACCATCAAATGTCGGCCCCCAGACAGCACGGCGTGCTTCCACATCCACTCTCTCCTGATCCCAAGGACACCCTGCGAGGCAGGTGCCTTCATTCATCCTGTCTTACACCTGCAGCCACTGAGGCTCCCTGAGGTGGAGAGACCTGCCTTCCTCCCTGTCCCCCGCCCCCAGCACAACAGCAGTAAAACTCAGGATCGTCTGGCGCCACACTCAGTCCTGCCAACTGGCCCTCCGCCGTCCTGGGCCGGTCCCGTCCCTCCTCCCCAGAGTCATTCTGAGCCACGCTGTGCAGGGGTCCCTCCATCTTCCCTCCCCCCGCCTCTCAGGTCCTGCCACGCTCTGGCCTGATGGCCGTCAGCCCCAAGCCGCCTCTGGACAGGCACCTGCTGTCGCCTACTCAAGGGAGCAGCCCTGGGCTCCGGAGCCTGAGCCCCCAGCCCCGGGACCTGCCCGCCCACGTGTTCCAGGTGTGGGGCAGCCACAGGCGGCCTGTTCCTCAGCTTGGTGCTATCCGTGAGCTGGTCACCTCTGACACCATGCATGTCTACATGTCCACCACGTCTCGAGCCTATTTACCCCTTGCAGCCCAGACGCACTCGCGGGCCCTGGCTCTGTCCGCCCACCGCCCTGCATCATCAGGCCCCGGGGCAGGTGCTCAGGAGTGTGTGAGGCTCCGCTTACCCGGCTTGTTGAGAAGGCAGCGCAGCTCATACTCTACGTCGGCCTGACGCTGCTCCAGGTTCTGCTGCTTGAAGCTAGAGGGTGGGAATAAGCTGACTATTAATTCAGCCCCATGCAAGCCGGCCCTGGCCCGTGCTGTCAGTGACGAGAGAGGGAAGACAGGGCACTCTCTCCGTTCTAGCTGCCTGGTTTCCAGGAAGGGGAGCAGGGGGCCGAGGGCTGGGAGGACTCACACATAGATGAGCTCGGACTCCCGCCGTACCAACAGGTGCTTCTCGTGGATGAGCTTGAACCAGTCCACCAGCATGTCATCCTCACGGCCCTCTGGAAGGCAGATGCCACCCACTGAGGCCGGGGGTGGCCACAGGTCCCCCCTCCAAGGAGCTAGGGAGGCTCCCCGCAGCGAGAGGGGCCCCGGCCACCCCCTCGCCCCCTGCCAGGCCCTCCCGGCAGCCCTCGAACCGTTCATGCCGCTGCGCAGCTTCTCCTCCAGCAGAACCCCGCGGAGCTCCAGGGCGTCCAGCTGGCGCTCGATGGCGTCCACCTCTCCATGGATGTCCTCCTCGGGGATGTACTGATCAGCCTGGACCTGCCGGTCACCACACCGGTCACCATCCCTCCTGCTGCCTGCTGCCAGGAGCTCCACCCTCCGGCCAGCAGTGGCCAGCACAGGCCCAGGGCCTGGGCTCTTTCCCACAGCCTGGCGGGCCCAGGGACAGGAGCCCAGGCTGGGGGAGGGTCGGTGTGGCATAGCCACAACCCCTCCATGCCCCTGGCCCAGCGCCAACAGGTACACCTGGAGGGAGGCACAACTTCCTACCTCTCGTGGCAACCCTGCCCCCTTCTCTGCCACTCCATAAATGATATCACAATGTCAGAGAGTGACCTTGTTATAGAGATAAACTTGAGAACACTCTAATCTACTTCAGTAGAAGTGTGCCCTATGAGTGCTTTGATCCTTGAACTATTATTAGTGACAAGTTAATGCACCACCCATTGCTCCTGCTGGAGAACAGCTGATCTGCCCCAAATCCCCCTGGTTGCAGGTTAAACCTTCCAGCTGAGCCACCCAAGTGGCCCCTCTCCAACATCTGAAGGCAGCTGCCTGGGTGGCCCGTCTTCTTGAAGTGTCCCATGGGGAGCCTGAGGCGGCCACAGAGGGGGCCCGGGCCCAGGCAGGCTGGAAGCTCCCGGCTGGTACCTTGCGCTTGATGAGCGGGAAGCCATGTCCCGGGGCAGGTGGCCTCGCTGGCTTGGGTCCCTTGGTGGCTTTCTTTGTGGCAGGGGACGCTGTGGGTGATGCCTTCCGGTTAAAAGGATTCTCCTTGCAGGAAGACTAAAGGCAGGGTGACATGACAGAGGGTAAGTCTGGGGAGAGAGCAGCAAGACCCCGGCTGCCTGAGGACCCTGGGTGCAGGGGAAGGAGGGCCCGGGCAGAGAGGGAGCATTCAGTCTCCGATGCACTGGGTCACGCGACACACATTCCCATTTCCCAGCACCTCCCGTGCGCGGCTGCTGCCCGGAGACTCGAGTACATTCTTATCTAATTCTCACAGTCGCTCTGCAAGGTGGGTATTGTAACACCCATTTTAGAGCTGACACTCAAGTGCAGAGAACTTCAGTAATTGGCTCAAGGTCACGCACTTCCCAAGGGCCCAAGCAAGGGTGGGAATCTGTTGCAGGGCAGGGCAGCCGTCCAGCACCGGGAACAGTGGTCAGGACATAAGTCTAGGGCCAGACAGAGCTGCGGCAGCTCATTCGTCCTCATCGCCACCCTTCCCCAGAGGGGACGCTTGGCTCAGAGTACACCCCAGTGCGGCCTGGTCAGAACGGACGGAAGCACAGACCCCGCCTTCCACCTGGGCGGCACATGGAGAAGAGCGGCCCCTCCCTGCCCAGGAGAGACCCTCTCCTCTGCCGGCCCCCTCATGCACCCAGAGCCTGCACCTTTCTGTGGGCAGTCAGGACCTGGTGGCTCAAAGGGGCTGTGGCTGCTAGAGAGGCCCCCTCAGGCACACGGTGCCCAGAGGAACATCCGGACCCCTGGAGACCCCTGGTTCTTGGCGTGGGACTGAAATTGGTGTGTCACCAGCCCACGCAGGCTGTGAGCTCCCTAGGATGGTTGCCTCAAGGCCACTCCATTCCGAGAGGAGACGGGGTGCGGGGCAGGCCCGGGAGGGGCTCCTGCATGAACGGGGCGGGCCTCAGCGAATGGAAGGGTGGACACATGGATGCGCAGGTGGGTGGCAGCGGTGTGAACGGACAGGCAGGCAGGCCGGGGCCTGAGTGCATCACCGCTTGGAGGGCCAGGCAAGTGGACAGGTGCACAGACAGGAGGGCGGTCCGGCTGATGGGGGACAGCAAGCAGGTGCGTCTGTGCCTCAGTGGATGGAGCAGTGAATGGGAAGAGGGACGCAGCAAGGAGTGAGGGACCGGCAAGGATGGAAGGCCCTGCACATTCCCGCCCTGAAGTCAGACCCCGTCTGCTAGGCAGGACAGCCGCTTTTCGCAAGGGTGAGGCACTCACCTTTACCTGGAGCTGCGGGGATGAGGTGCCCGGGGAAGGCACAGGGGTCTTGTCTGCCACCAACAAGAGGGGTGTGGGGGCAGCGCCACTGCAGGGCTTGGCTGGCTGGGGGCCCGGGCTGCCCCTCGTACCAGAGGCAAGGCCGGGGCCAGCTTGGGGCGTGTGGTCCGCAGTGCGCTGTGCCAGCTCCCCAGAGGAGGACAGGGAGGAGGTGGCGGAGGGGCTGGCGGAGGTCGCAGGGGTGCTGGGTGCGTGGACAGCAGGCTCTGAGGAGCTCTTGGGCACCACTGGGGGCTCCAGAAGCCCCCCGCCGGTGGTCTGGCTGGAGCCCTCAGACGACAGGCTCTCCACACTGAGGGCTGGCGAGGGGGCGGCCGAGGGCGGCTCTGAGCGCGAGAGGCGGGAGGCATGCAGAGCTGTGCGGGCAGAAGCGTAGGTGGATGTCACGCCTAACGTGGCCCTCTCTCAACAGATCTGCGGGTGGCCTTGGCCACCCACATCTTTCCACTTCAGAGGAAGCCGGGGCCCAGAGAACCCACATGTCAGATTCTCACCCCGCGTGGCTGCTGTCCCCGCTTCCCCTCCCTTATCTGATCTGACCCAAAGCCAAGCCAAATTTAGAAGGCAAACCTGCCATGGGAGGGGAGGGCACGCGATCGCACAGTCGAGGCTGGCCTCTCCGGAGGCCAGGAGCCTCCGACCAGGAGCAGAGGGGGGCGGGTGGGCGGCAGGAGGGGGAAGGGCGGGCAGCCCTGGCCGCAGCCAGCCCTGGGCCGGGCACTGCCCTGCTCCTCGTTAGTGCTCATGCGGGTGACGGATACCATGCCTGAAAGTACGTCGTCTACGTTTTCCAGATAAGGCAGCAGACTCAGGCAGAAGGCACTGGTCCCAGGAGCGGCTGCAGCTGAACCCAGCTGTGTGACTCAGAGCTCACCCCCTTGGCTGTGCCCCACAGCTGTCCACCGCCCCCACTTGGCCCAGCTGGAGGGTCCCAGGGCTCTGGCTGGGGCGGGAGTGGGGGCCCCGGACCACCTGAGCGCCTGCCTCTGATCATCTCAAACATGCTCTCAGTCCCCGAGTCGGAGGGGCTCCCCCTGAGGTCTGAGAGGCAGCCACGGCAGAAGGTGCCCTGGCCCAGGGCCTGAGGAGACTACAAGTTAGTGAGCGCCAAGAACACCATGTGCCTGACGGGAGAGAGCGCTGGGTGGTGGGGACACGGTGCCCTGGCACTGGCCCACCACTCCTGCTGTCCAGATGAGGAGACTGAGGACAGGCCCAGGGAAGGAACAGCTCAAAGTCACAAGGGCTGAGTCACACAGAGGCAGGTCAGAGCCCGAGGCTGTCAGCGACCAGAGGGGTGACTGGATAGGCAGGGTGCCAGCTAAGCTCCGCCATGTGCTCTCCTGCCTGCCAGACTCTAAGCAGGTCCCCAGAGAGCGCAGTGACTTCTCACAACAGGCCTGTGAGACAGGTCACCAGGGGTTCAACAAATGGAGTCTAGAGCCTGGACTCCAATCTGGCCTCCGGTGCTTAAGGGCTGCGAGACCTTGGGTAAATCACTCACCCTCTCTGTGGCTCAGTTTCCCCCCCTCAAATGGGGGTGGGAGCCCTGCCTCACTGGTGAGCTCTAAGATTAAATGAGAGGGAAACACATGGCCTGGCCTGGAGGGGACCCCACCGAACCGCACGCCCCTCCGGCCCTGACCCCCGGGTTCCGACCGTCAGGCGCGCTTCCAGGACGGTACTCACCTAGCGGGGATGTGCTGGGCGCTGGGGGGGCGGGGCGCTTCTTTGTCTTGGGGCTGCTGGTGGGCGTGATACCGTACCAGGGGTGCAGGGACTTGGGCGTGGACTCCTGGGGGGCCTGGGCAGGGCCGGTGGCCAGACTGGCTGCAGCGGGGGGCTCCTCTGCCTCCGCCTCCTCCTCCTCCTCCTCCTCCTCCTCCTCAAAGGGGTTGTAGGGCTTGGGCTCCAGGCCAGCCGCCGCCGGGCTCCTCGGGGCCTCCTCCTCTGCGCCTCCGTTCTCCACCCGCCTGCTGTCCCGGCCAGGCGGCCGGGGGCTGCTGCTCGGGGGCGGCGGGGCTGGCTTCTTCTTTGGCTCTGCCTGTACCAGCGCAATCCAAGGAGGGTCCTTCCTGGGGGCTGGTGTCCTGCAGGGCAGCAGGGAGGGGCAGGGACCATCAGGAGGTACGGGGAACAGCGTCCTTCTCTCTCTGGACAGTTTTGAGTCCATTTCAAAGAAGATGGATGAGGAACTGCAGCTCTCTCCTCTCCCAGCCCCGGCGCAGCAGGACCAGGCTGGGCCCAAGGCTGAAACGGACCATTACAGTCACACCCCACTGGGCCCCGGAAAGGACCCACAGGGGCTCCCTGTGTGACATTGAGAAAGTCACCTGGCCTCTCTGCGTCAGTATCCCACTGGTGAACTGAGGACAATAATAATCCTCACCTCACAAGGTCACTGTAAGGGTTCAGCGGGCGCAGCACCTGGCACACAGCACGTGCTCACCGAGTCTCACTACTGGTACGGCTGCGGCCTCCCCACCTCCCTCCTGGGCCACATGGGGGACGCAGAGCTCCCAGGGACAGCGGGAAATGGATGTCCTTGCTTGGGATGCCGGGTCCCAAGTGGAAGACCTGAGCCAGGTATACAGCTGAGATGTTGGGGGCTTTTCCATACCTGGCTGCTAATTCTCTCAACTCAATGAGCCAGGCCTAGGCCTCCCATGTTACAAAGGCAGCGGAGGCCGGGGAGGTGAAGGACTCCAGAGGTGGCCATCTCCGCCAGGCACCGCGGCCCACAGCGGCCTTGGGGAAGGGGATGCGGGCACGGCACTCCTTCCTCGCCCAGGTGCCCCCCAAGCAGGCCCCAGGGGCCCCACGCTCCCACCACCAGGGCCCTGAAAGCCTCTCGGGGCCAGCGTACCTCTCTGATAGCTTGGGCGTCCCTCTCGGCTTGGGGACGGGGGGTTCGTGCAGCTTCCCTACATGGGAAAGGAGAGTGAGACAGGCTTTCATGGGCAGCGGCGGGCTAGGCAGCGGAGCGGTACACCTGGGGAGCCAGCCTGCCTCGCCAAGGAGTGCCCTTCCTTCCCACCTGGCAGGTTCTGGACGCCAGTGGCCCGGGCAGCCTCACCCGCATGCTGGCACCTCCCCGCCCCAGGACTCAGGGAGATTAGATAAGCACTGGAGGGGACAGGTGGAGAAGGTCAAGGGCACAAGGCCAGGGCATCTGAGCCCCCATCTGCATTTCAGGTGAGAAGGGGGAACCCAAGTGCCCCCCAGGCACTTCCCTAACACAGACGGGAAGTGCTGTCTCAACGCAGCCCCTGCGTCACGGCTCCCGGAAACCTCCTGACTTCCAGGTGTCCCCCACGAATCGCACAGCAGCCCCTGCTTCCCCCAACTGAACAGACGTCCAGCTCTGCCGAAACCCCCATGTCTGTGCCTGCCTGTCCCTGGAGACTGGCAGCGCCTCAAAGGCACAAATGGGCCTGGACAACATCTCTGTCCCCGGCACCCAGCACGGGGCTGGGCTCAGAGCAGGCCTCCAGGAGTGGGGAACAGAACTGGGTCACCAGGGGGAGTCTCCCCCCAGGCCCCAGGGCCTTTCCTACCCTAACCACCCTCCCTAACCAAATGGGGGCTGCCCAGCACACCCCCCATTTGCCTTGTCCGCGTGAGCTCATGGAGGCCCAGGGGGTCATCTGGGGCGATCCTACGATGAGGGGTGGACAGAGGTCTCTGCTACAGTTTTGACTCACCTGAAGAGAGCCCCCAGAGGCCCACCCGACCAGGACCCGCCTACGCCTGTCCCCAGCCCCCAGCCCCGGAGCGCTCCCCGGCCAGACATCCAGACACGAGCAAGTACATGGGCTGGATATGGGAGGGGAGGTCACCCAGGGTATGCAAACTGGCCGGACACACAGGGTCCCGGACACAGTCGAGACACAGGCACACAAAGCGAGCGCCTGCTACACACCCTGAAACTGAAGCACACGGGGCACGAAAGAACACAAATGCCCCAACACGCTCAGCACGGGGCAGCCTGGGCACAGCCTGTATGTATCTGTTCTGTTGGAGCTGTACCCCCAGCACGGAGAACAGAGGCCTCCGTCACTACTTGTTGCACGAGCTAATCACCTCGGAAACAGAGTCATCCCCACACAGACACACAGGCGCAGGGCGTGGCCCCAGCAACCCTCCCGGTGCACACGTCCCTGTGAACGCCAGACGGCCCCAGCTGGACCCTGCTCACCGTTCACCAGGCTGCCGCCGGCCCCCTGCTCCAGGTTCTCGGGCTGCAGACTGGACCGGGGCCGGGGCGTGGGGGGCGTCTGGGCTGTGCTCTCCAAGGCCTTCCTGGGGGCAGGCATGGGGCGGCTGGCCTGGGGGCTGGCCAGGTCCTGTGGTCTGTCCGGCACACAGGGCTTGGTGGGGACCTGGGGCCGGGCCTCAGCCCCTGCGGTCACGCTAGGGCTAGGGCTGCCTCCCTCCACGTCCTTGGCTTCTTCTGCCACTTCTTTTGCATCTTCTTGCTGTTGCTTTGGCTGTGGGGGAGGCGTGGGCTTGGCCCCTGACCGCCCAGCTGGGCCCAGCCGGGCACAGTTCTCCACACACACGAAGGTGCCCTCCTCGGGCCCGCTCCGGTAAGCCCCGGGGACCAGGGTGCTGGAGCACTGCCGACACCTGCCAGGGAGGGCGAGGGCGGGTGGTCAACTTGGCCAGGCAGCCCGGCCCAACGTGCCGGCTGCCTCCCCTCCAGCCGCCAAGGCTGTTCCCTCCCTCCCCTTCTCCCAATGGCCCGTCTGGATCCTGTCTCAATACCCTGGGCTTCCCAGAGGAAAAGGAAAACGGCAACTGTCAGGAAGCTGTGAAACACATGTTCAGCCTGTGCTGCAAGAGGAAGCAAAGGTCCCCACCCCCAACAGTTCACTAAGCCGTGACCTGGTGCCTGCGACAACGGTCAGTTGCCAGTTCCCTGGCTCTTCGATCTTTTTTCTCATTTCTTTTTTATAACATATATTTTCTAAGTTATTTGTATTTTCCTGGCCTCTTATTCCATTTTCTTTGAACTTGGCTTCCCCTGGGAGCCACATAAAGAAAGCAAGTTGTTATTTTGATCTTTTTTAATCCCCCGTCCCTCCCCCACGCCGCTCCCCCACCTAGTATTTTGTAACGCGTATTGTGCTCCTTAAGCATCATCGGGCAGTTTGCCTCAGAGAGTGCCTGCAGGGCCCTGAGCTCCAGCCCCGCTCTGGCTCTAATTATGTGGCTGGGCCAGCCCTCCCCAGCTAGGCCTCAGTTGCTCCTCAGTAAAGCAGGGACAGGCAGGATGCTCCGGCACACAGAGCCTGCCAATGTGCCTGGCACACGGCGGCGCGGAATCCACGGACGCTCCCTCCCGGCTACCGGGGCGCTGGGGTCCAGGCGCCTGGCCGCAGGCCCCCCAGCCACTCACCGGAAGCAGTGCCGGTGGTACAGCTTGCCCTCGGCCAGGTAACGCTGCACCAGGTGCACATGCTTCCCGCAGGCCGCGCACGTGCTGCTGGGAGTCCGGTGGGCGCCCTGCTCCGACAGGTGACCCGAGGAGAGGTCCTCGCCCTGCAGGGAACAGGATGGGCAGATTGGGGCTGGCGGCATGGTGACCAGCCATCCTGCTGCCCCCTCGAATGGCCGCTGTCCCCTTTCCACAGGTGAGGAAGCTGAAGCCTACAGAGGGCGACAGACTTACTCAAGGGCCCTGGGTCGGGACGGAAACGTCAAAGTCCTGACTGCCAGCTTCGGGCCTTCCCCACCAGAGAGGCGGCTTCTGGCTGCGAACCCCCGGGCCTCGCTGCTCTTACCCGCCTCCCGTCGCGGCAGGTTGGCCCCTGTGGGTGCCTGTGCTCCTAGACCCCCCTCCTAGACCTTCTCTGCATCCCTTCCTAGAGCCCCAGCGGATTTAAATCCCGGTTTCTCCACTTTGAAGCACCATGACCTTGGGCGAGCTGCTGGTGCCGCTGGGCCTTGGGTTCCCCCCTGCAAATTGGAACCCTATCCCCCTGCCTGTCTCAGCCCTGCACATGCTCACTGGGCACCCACCCTGGGCCCGGCGCCCTGTCCTCAGGGGCTCCAGCAAGTAGCAAATGGGAGCAGGTGAGACAGCCCTCTGCACGCCAGGAAGTGCCATCCAAAAGTGAAGGGCTGGTGTCACCCCTTTAGGCACTTTGGAGCAAGGGACAGGCAGTGTGGTCCCCACTTCCCAGCGGAGAGACCTGGACACATGACCCAGCCTGAGGCTCAGTTTCCTCATTTGTGTAGCAGGACACTGAACACTGACTTCCCAGGACCGTTGGGGTGAATCGCCCAGGGAAGCTGGAGGCTTGGTCTCAGCAGGAATTAAGGCAGGTATTTGCCATATTACTACTGTGTAAACCCTGTTGGACCCAGGATGGCAGAGTCAGCATCGTGACTTATGTCCCCTTCCCAGGCCTGGCACATCCTCACCCCTGATCTGTGTCCGGGCCTGTGAGAGTCTACTTCCAAGCCAGTGGGAAAAGGACCAAGCGCCCTCTGAACACTGCAATGCCAGCTGAGCGTCCCTGCCCGCCCGCCCCAGGCGTCTGCCTACCTGAGCCCCATCTCCTGGTTCCACTGGAATAGATGGTGGGGAGGAGGGTGCCAAGCCCTTTCCGGGTGGAGAGACGCCAGCTGCCAAGAGACCGGAAAGAACCTTGAGGCAGGGGGAGACCCTGGAGTCCCAAGAGGCCCCAGCCTGGCCTAAGATTTGAGCTTCGAAGCCACCACCTTTGGTCCCAACGCAGTGGGACCAGAGCAGGCTCTGTGTCATGGCCCACCCAGGCCAGCGGACACCTCCACTTCCAAGCTAAGAGCCGAATGCAAGCTGCTGAACCTCGCGGAGCCTCTGCTGAGTGGGAGGGGGCACCCACTGCGCAGGGGCAGTGTGAGCGAGAGGCAACAGCACAGCCGCAGAGCTCACAGTGCCCTGCGTGCGGCAGGACCAGGAGCCTCCCTCCCCCTGGGGGAAGGGGGCCAAGGGAAGGGAGAGAAAGGAACCGCACAGTGCTGGCCCGCAGGTTCGGAAGATGGGCTGGCTCCCTGGGGCCGACAAGGAGGTACACCACCTGTGACCAGGTAGGCAGCTGCGGCCCAGAACCCGGCCTGCAGCCCCCCGAACCGGAAGAAACGCCCCCACCCCCCACCCAGTGTCCTCCAACACTCTGCTCCTTCACTCCTTCAGCAAATGTTCACTAAGCACCCACTTTGTACCCAGTGATTCAAATAAAACTCCCCAATTCAGAGAACTGTATATCAAAAGAATCCATTCTACTGTATCACTACTTCATTATTTATTTATTTTGTGTGTTTCTGTATGACAATTTTAAAAATAAAACTCCAGCTCCCTACTGTGGTCTAAAGCAGCATTTACCGAACTTCAGGTAACCATCCGCGGAGGTACCCTGAAATCAATGCAGTGCATTACAACCAGCACACATAAAGGATGAAAGAGAAAATATCTGTGCGCATCACATGTCGTAACGAGAAGAATCATTTCCCAAAACTGGTTCCACTTATATACGTGTGCATGAACTTTGATTAGGATGGAAACTGTATTTCTTACCATGATTCATGGTCCAAAATTTTGGAAGCCTAGCCACCTAATCAATTCCCTGCCCTTATGTCTCTATCTGTCCTCTCTCCTCCTCATCCACTGAAGCACACAGACCCCCGCTGCCCTCTTGTCAGAAACAGTCCTCCCCAGATATTCACAAGACCTCCTTCTTCTCCTTGTTCGGGACTTAGCTCAAACGTCACCTCCTCGGGGAAGCCCTCCCTGACCACTTGCCTGTAGTAGACACTTCCTTCTCTCATTGCTTTTCATCCCATTACTTTATTTTGTTTCCTTATTGGATTCTCCTGAAATTATACCATTTACTACATTGTTCTCTCTCACTGCCTTCCCCATCCACTGGACTGCAAGCCTTGTGAGTCTGTGTGGTTCCCAGTTCTCTCCCTAGCACAGTGCTTGGCACACAGTAGCAGTTCGACAGGAATCTGTTGAATGAATGAATGAAGTGCCGGGCACTGGAGCTACGCGGCTGCGAACCAGGCAGCGACGGTCCGCAGGGGAAGAGAGAGGACTCATCATGGTATCAGGGCCACAGTTCTACGTGTTCGGCGTGGGGCCGGGGGCTACGAGAGCACCTGGAGTGTATCAGGGCAGGCTGCTTGGGGGCGGAATGTGAAGATGAAAGGATCAGTAGAAAAGAATGTGCTGGGGGTGGAAGAGGTGGAACAGAAAATGGAGTTTGGCGCCGGAGGATCACCAAGAACAGAGGCGTAGCAGGAAGGAATGGGATGCGTCCAAGCACCAGAAACTAGGGCGGCGAGTGGCTCCTGCTCAGCAGTGGAGGCCCTCAGGGGCCGCGCCAAGAAGCTGGACTTTCCCTGATGACACCTGCCCCTGCCATCCTGTTGGGGCTGACACCCCTCCTCTGATCTCCCAGGCACTGGGCTTCCTGTACTCATGCTCTGGTTCTAGAAAAGACTGTGGCTCCTGCAAGTCAGGGGTCAGCTGATGTGCACACAGTCAGGGGCACCCACAGAGCCCGGCACGAGCCGAGCACCCAGCACGGCACTTTGGTGTCTCAGCCAGGGCCAGGTTCAAAGCTCCGAAGCCCAGTGAGAGTTGCGTGCAGTCAAAATCGCCCTTGAAATCCCTCCATTCACCCAGGAAGCTCAGCACAGGACCTTCGGGGGGAGTCTGACAGCCAGCTTCACCCCCGGGGCTGGGACACACCTCTGGGTGTCCTTTCAGTTGAGCAGCAGGTGGGATAAAAATGGTTTGCATTGAGGGGCCCAGTTATATGCAAAGCCCAAGCTGTACTTTTTTATCCCCCGCCGGCCCAGGGGGTGTTCCCACCCTGGCACAGCTCGGGAGCTCTCACCCCAGGGTGTCCTGTGAGGACCCAGGATCAGAGCGGCACCATCGACAGTGGGATCGGGGGCCCCCACCGCTCGACCACCCCGCAGCTCCCCAGAAGAGGAGAGCCTAGTAGAGAGAGGCTGGAGTGCCTGACAAGGAACCCCCCATAAGACGGGACTGAAGTGTGACTCTAGGTAAGGAAGCTAGACTCTAACCAATGGGATAAAGATGCCATAATAACGCTACCCTTGAGTCTTAAATAAGAGCCAGACATGGGTTTGTACTTCCTCTTTCACTCCTTGCGTCAACCCTGTGAGACAGGCACTATTCTTGTCCCCATTGCAGAGGGGAAACTGAGGCAGAGAGGTGGCCATGGGAGCCCATTGACACCCAGAGAGTAAATGGCAGAGAAAAACTTTTGAGTCCACTCTATTAACTTCCACCCTATTGCCTCTCACCAAAGACTCGGTGGCTGAGAAATCCTTTTAATTTGATTTCTATTAAAATACATAGAATGTTATTTGTTCAAGTATAACATTAATCCCTAGCAATATCTTGGGGAGAGGGGAGTAACAGATTATTTTAATTTTCATGTTTTTTTTTCTGTGTTCTAAATTGCCCACCATAAGCAGGTTTTAGTTTTAAAAAGGAAAACAAAGACCTGACTTCATAGAACACTTTTTTTAAAGAGATGGGCTGGGACTGTCCGCGTGGAGAGCAGAGACAGGAGACGGGACTGCAGTGGGTCAGGGAAGGGGCAGGGCGCCCGCCTCCCCAGGACCCCCGGACGGCGGTGAGCAGAGTGGGCGTCAGGGCGCCTGGCTTCCCCACCCAGCCCCTCGGCCTTCCTGCTGTGTGACCCTGAGCTCCGCGCCTCCCTCTCTGGGCTTTCTTCTCCTCTGCCGGAGAGGCTTGGCCGCGCCCAGGAGACCTCCGCACGGTTCCCCGGGCAGATCTGCGGCCCACAGGGACTTGACTCAGCAGAGAGGCACCCTGGTACCCAGGGCCCCCTCCCCCTGAACTGCCAAGCCTCTCAGTTCTCAGGCCTTGGAGATCACTGCTGGGGGAAGACACTGCCCAAAAGCCCCACAGGGCCCCTTCCCTGCCACAGGAAAAGCCCCAGGGAAGCGTCTGTGAACAGGAAGTGAGGGCGGGTGCGGAGAGGTGAACTCCTGGCCGCCAGCGGTACAGCCATCCCGCTTTGCCTCCTTCATGTTACTTGCTCAATTACGGGTGGCTGAGTTGGGTGGCTGTCTCCCCCACAAGACTAGGCGCTCTGGGAGGGCAGCGACCTGCTCACAGCTGTACCCCCCTCACGGTGCTGTTTCTCTCCATAAAGAGCGTTTCAATGGGTAAATGAATGATCCAGTGAATGAATGACGTGCTGCCTCCCCAGCGGCCTGTTTTCAGCTCAGAAAACTACCACCCACCCCCAGCTGCACCCCCGGGGCCAGTCGCTCTGAAGAGCTGTCCCCCTCTCACCTTGGCCAGGGCTGGCGAAGTGGTTGTAATACTGGGACACGTAGGTCATGATGCTGAGGCAGTCGGGGACACTCATGGAGACCATGTCATTGGGGTCCAGGAGAGCCGGGATGCCCAGCTCCTTCTCAGCCACCTCAAAGGCCTGGGGTCGGGGCAAAGAGCAGCCACAGCAGGAAGAGGGGGAGCAGGCAGGGTTAGTGGGCACCCCTCAGCTGAGGCCCAGCTTAGCTCCCCTCCGAGGGATGAGGGGACAGGGCAGGGGTGACTGTGGGCAACCCCAGGCCCTGACCCCAGAGGATGGCCCAGAGAAGGGGAGGCCTAGTGCTTCAGGGACAAGTGGGCCAGAGGGAAGCAGGGGGCGGGGAAAGGAGCAACCCTGCCCACCCCCCACCCCTACTCACAGCCTCTTGGGCTTCCACCGGTCTGGGGACTCACCAATCGGTTATTCTCGAAGACATTGTCCTTGGAAAGTGAATCAAAATCTCTGCAAGAGGAGAAATGGGAGGAGGCGCTTTGAGAAGGTGACCAGGCAAGGGCATGAGTCCGCAAGGGGCCGGGTAGAGGGGACTATTCTAAAGGGAGGGGTCTGTGGACTGTCAAGGAGGAAACTGAGGCAACAAGCACATGCTTGTGGAGTCAGGACTGGCTGGTGGTGGCGCAGGATGAGCTCGCGGCCCCCAGAGGCCTCCAAGCAGAGGCTGCAAAGCACTCGGAAGCCGTAGGGCTCAAGTCCAGGTTCGCAGGTTTAAGATCCCTTAACTTGCTGCGAATCTGGACACCCTTCCCCAGGAAGCCACATCCTGAGTCAGTGACAAAGACAAAACTAAGACCGAGACAAAGGCTTGTAAAAACAGGGACATCCGTGGACCAAGGACCTCACACTGGCGCCGTGCTGAGCCCCCCTCTTGAATTTACATTATTTTTAACTACTTGCCAGGTATTTACCCGGTGTTACAGATGAGAACACTGAGGCCCAGAGAGGGAAAACAGCCAGCCCTGGGAACCCACGTTCCAGGTCTTTCTACTGCAAGTCTCAAACCTGGAGAAGCCACACCAACATGTGCAATCCCAATGCAGCCCGAAGACAAATCATTTTTTTTAATGGGAGCAGAACAAGTTTGAACTGGACTGGAAACCATTCTGACTCCAGAGCTGCTGCTGGCTCTGAACACCGGCTGCCCTGGCTGGGCCACTCCTGGGGACACCTTCTCTTGTGGGAACAATGAAGGGTTTCCCAGTTTCTAAGCTGGGACAGGCGAGAGGCAGCAGGACCAGCCTCGGGGACCCTGGGAAGGGACAGCTGGCCAGCCTGCTGGCTTTATTTATCCACCCCACCCCCACACCCTGCTTTAGGCCGCTAGAGTGGCTGAAACCGGTGGAGGCAGCCCAGCCTTCTTGCCCGAAGCCTCCTGGGTGCACCCGCCCGACGCCTTTCCTTCTATGGCTGAAAACTGCAGCCCGCCAGCCCGATGCAGGGGGCCCAGAGGCCAGAGCAGGCAGCTCCTCCTCCAAGGTCCGGGTCCCAGGCCCTGCTTCTCCAGGCTGGGCTGTGTAACCTTGAGCAGGTCGGCCGGCCGTCTTTGCAGCCTTCACCTTCCCATCTGCGACCTGGGGGAAGCTCTAGTACCACCTCCCCAGTGGGGAGGGCTGGTGAAGGGCCCGTCTCCCAGACAAAGGGGAGGATGAGCACCCCCCGCCCCCGTCCCCCGCTTCTCTAGGCAGAGTCCAGGTACAGTGAACTGAGAACCCTGGAAGGAGTTGCCCCAAGGTGGCCTGGAAGCAGGGATGACTGTGTATGAGCTAGAGCTCCCTTTTGTCACCTCTGGCCAGGCTGTGTCCTTCTCCCTTCAGCTGGGTCCCTGACTCCCCTTGCTTTGCCATTACCTGAGGGCAGGACCCTCAGCAAAAGCTGCGGAACCTCCAAAACCTGTCTCTTTGTCTGTGACTCTGTGAAAGGGGTGAGGGGACACCTGCATAAGCCCCGGACAAAGGCTTGTTTCCAGAACAAATGGAACAAAGTGACTTGTCTCGGCCTTTTATTTCAGTCTCCCCGACAGTCTTCCTAGAAGGCTGGGGTTAGACTTTATTCACTCGGTGCCCCCCAATACCCCACCTAGTTCCTGACACTTAGTAGGTGCTCAATAACTGTTTATTCAATGGGGAAACACTGGAGGCAGCGTGAAAACTGCAAAGGCCCCCAAGACACTATAGTTCTTCCTCCAGCCTCTTCCCCCACCTCCACCTCAGTCTCTCGCAAACATCTGGGCTTTCGTAGCAGAGATTTTCTGAGAGTCTCAAAGGCCCAGCAAGTTCCATTTGGCTCTGAGAGAGATGAAGGGCACAAAAATGAAATCCAAAAATGAGGATCAAAAAAAGAATGAAACCCACATGGTGTCTCCTTGAAGACTGTGAGACATCTGGGAGGCCTTCCCAGCCCGCCCCTCTGATACAGCACTTCCCACGTGGAATTTTCATCCCTGCTCCTACATGTTGCCTCCATGGGCGTGGGAGACTGCGTGCGGTTTGTCTCTCTGTTGGTTGGTTATCTCCATTACCAGGCACAGTGCCCAGCACATAGTAACTCTATAAATACTTACTGAATAAGTGAAAGAAGAAGATACTTTTCATAGTCATCTCCCTACTGCCTAATAACACTGCTTACACTAACTGATGTTAACTGAATGCTCATTAGGAGGTCAGTCTTATTATCATACCCATTTTGTAGGCGAGAGAAAGGATGCCCGGCGGGATCCAGTGACTTCCCCAAAGTCCCACACCTGGGACACGGAAGCGCCAACCGCACACCGAGCAGCCTGCACTTGGGCGGTGGCAGGCTCAGGCCTGCCACGGGGCTTAGTTTGATACCCAAGTCCCTTCGCACACTGGCCCTGTCCCCTGCCTCCCCACCTGCCCCTCAGCCAAAACAGAAGACCCCCTCAAGCCCTTCACTCCATTCTGGGTGGCCTTCTCCATCCTTCAAGCCCCCACTCCTGAGCCCTCCCCCGACCTCATTTGGTGCAGTTGCCACATGCCCCACGGCAGGCAGGGCACAACTGCGTCTCTCTGTACCTCACCTTGTTCACTTCTGCATCCACGCCCTCAAACCTCTCTCCCGCAGGGCCCGACCCAACTCCCACAGACATCGTGCCACATGGCACGGAGTAAGCGAAGTGCCATGCGCCATCAAATCCTTGAGGCATCCTTTCCTTCCTCCCCTCCTTCCTCAAAGCCCTCCCAGGCACCGTCCTTAGGGAGGCAGGTCGGGTGTGGAACAGACACAGAGACCCGAGGCCCTGCTGGGCTCAGGGAGCCTGTGGTGTGGGGCGCTGTAAGCACAAGAAATGGTGGGCACCAGAGAAACTTTCACTCATTGTTTTATGAATGAATGAATGGATGGATGGAAGAGATGCCAGCACCCAAGGCAGAGGGAGCTGCGACTGAAGCCCAAGCCAACTGCTCTGGGGGGTCTGAGTAAATTTTCCTGCGAGAACCTCACTGGGCAGCTGGGGACCACAAGGGGGCATTTCATCCCCTGGAACAGCCCACTAGTGGCTGTCATCGTCAGACACTATGAGTCTTGGCTTGGCCTTCCTGTCCCACTGAGGACCGCAGGACCCTGGGCACACACCTGGGCAGACAGGTCTGTGTCCTTACGGGCGCCGTGGGGGCTTCACATCCGTGCATCCCACCACTGTTAACCTGGGGTCTCCCCCGTGCCAGGCACTGTGCTAGTGCCCCGGAGACAAGAACACGTGGGGGAATCAGAGCTGCGAGGTTTAGCCCTGGCTCGTGTGGCTCAGTGGATTGAGAAGGTCGCTGGTTCAATTCCCAGGCAGGGCATATGCCTGGGTTGCAGGCCAGCCTGGAGGCATGTGAGAGGCAACTGATTGATGTATCTCTCACACATCAATGTTTCTCTCCCTCTCTTTCTCCCTTCCTTCCCCTCTCTCCAAAAATAAATAAATAAAGTCTTTAAAAAAAAAAAAAAGCAGCGAGGTTCACTGTACTCAGAGCCAGAGGGCCTCTCACAGAGGGAAGCAGGCCCATCGCCTCGCCTCAGCGGCGCAGGCGCTCAGTGTGTCAGTGCGCCTGTGCAAGAGCAGTTTAGTGCAGAAAACTCCCAGGTGTCACGGAGGGCTCGGTGCCCCTTCAAAGGGGGCAGGGGCGCGGTTTGAGTCCCCCTTGGGCGGAAATCAATGCCTTGTGGGCGGGGCCGCTCCGACTCCAACCCCCCGCCGAGGAGGTGCCGGTGTTCGGGGTTCCAGGGTATACGGGTCCCAGGGGGCGGGGCCCGAGGCCTAGTGGGGTAGGATTGGACCCCGGGTTGGGGTCTCAACGACCCTCCAGGCGTCGGGGCTGGTGGGTAGGGTCGGCGTCTCGGTCTCCGGGGGGCGGCGCCTGCCACCCATCGGGCCCGCGTCACTGAGGGGGGCGGGGGTCCCCAGCCCGAGCCGCGCCGCCCCGCTCGGCTCCCCGACCCGCCCGCCCTCCCGGCACTCACAGCAGGTCGGGCCGGTGCCGGTGCAGGATGGCGCAGAAGGCCAGGCCATCCCGGAAGGAGCTGCTCAGGTTGCGGATGTCCACGCCGCGGTAGCCCTCGCACTGGCGGCGGCACCAGGCCAGCAGCGCGCCCCGCGGCCCCGCCATGAGCCACGCGGGGCTCGGCCCGGCTCCGGACGCTGCCCGGCTCAGGCTTCACCCTCGGGCCCGCCTCGGGCCGAGTACCGGCGGCGGCTTCGGCGCGGCCCTGCCCGGCGCTGCTCCGAACTCTCGGCGCCGACCGGCGGGCGCGGGGCGGGGAGGAGGCGGGGCCGCGGCCTGCTGTCCTCGCTCGGGCTCCGGCGCGGGGTCCCGGCTCGGCCGCCTGCTCCCCGCCCGGACCTGCCCGGACCAGCCCGGCCGGCCGCCTCCTACTCACCGCCGCCCGCTCCCCTAGCTGTGGGCCGGCAGCGGGCGCCTCGGTCCCCGCCCGCCGCCGCCGGGGAGCGGGGAGGGGGCGGTGGCCTGGCGCCCCACCCAGCGGCGGCTCCGCCCCCAGACGCGGACCCCCACCCCCACCCGACCGACACCCCACCGTCCCTCTCCTCAGCCATCCCGTCACCACTTCCACACGGTGACCCCTCAAAGAACTCTGGGACAGCCAACTTGCCGGTCCCCACAATGACTTCCTCCACCCCACCGCCTCCACCACGCAGCCTTCCAGGAACCTGCCTCTTCCTCCTATCCTGAGCCCTTCCCACTCTTTGGCCTAAGGCCCTGCAGATCCCCCACATTGATGACTCGAAGCCCACCTCGCTACCCTGGCCCGAAACTTTGAGAGACTTTACCCCCCATCTCAGGCCAATCAGGCAGTTCCCTTGCAGACTCCAACGCACCCCCAGAGGGCCACCAGCCTCCTTCACCCTGCCTCACCACTCCAAAACACCCCTGACCTCCAGGTAGTTCTGGCTTCCGCCATTGCCAGCCCCATAGCCTGCCAGGGAGACTCCATGCCATACTGAGCCTGGCCACCTGTCCTGCAGAGTTCTGACTCTCCTGTGCTCAGGGATCAGGGATGGCCCTCTCCCCACTGGGGGCGCCGCTGCTGCCCTGGTTTGGGGGGTGGTGGGCTGGACTCCTAGGGGAGGACCTATGGGAAGCAGGCCCTTGCTGGCAGGGCGTTAGGTTTCTGGCCTGGAACCATTTTCCACTGCTCCTCATTCGGGGACCCTGGTGACCCCTCCCCAGAGGCGGGAAGCCTGTCCTGCGGGAGATGAATCAGCCTTCCCCTGGCTGGCTGCCAGCTGCCAGGGCACTGATGTAACTCTGACCAGCTCACTGGTTAGGTCCACGGTCTGTGGCTCCACCCCATCCCCCACCACCAAGGGAAGGAGCAGGGTCTTAGTCATCTCTGTCCGCCCTCAGCTCTGGGGTGGGTGGAGAGTGAGGAATGGAAAGAACAGGGATTTGGGAGTCATATTGACCAGGCTCAAGTCTGGGCTTTTCCCCCTTACCCAGCCATGTGATCTCGAGCCACCCTGAGCCTCAGTTTCTACATCTCGAAAAGGGGGATAATTTCTTCTTTACAAGGTTTCTGGGCACATTAAGATGTGCCTGACCCTTTAGTAATCACTCATAAATGCTAACTATGGATACCTGGTACCTGGTAAACATGTGGTAAAACGGACTGAAAACATTTCGTACCCAGCTTGTCCCCTGGGCCTTGAGTAAATTATCGAGCAGAGAGGCTGACTTGGGGAAGCCCACCTTCTCTTAGGTTCACTAAGTCCCAGCCCAGGAGATAATGATGAGAGAGGCCAGGGGAATCCCAACTTGCGCACCTGGACCAGCCTCACACCTTGGATCTGCCTGAGGCTGAAAGGCCACCACCTAGGCCCAGAATGGGGACTCGAAGGCTACTTAGGGAGGGGCTGCCATGGGCCAGGCTGCCTGGCCAGCCCTCCTGGCCCTTTACCTGTCCACGCTGCCGCCTCCTGCCTTCCTTGTCTTCTCTGGGAAAGCAAATCCAGGAAAGGAAGGCTCCAGGTGCTTTTGTTAAACTGGGGACGTGGTCTCCGGACCCAGATCCCAGCACCCACTCGGACGTTCCTTAACACCCCGTCCCCACCAGCCTCAGGGGCTCCCTGCAGATCCCTGAGGACAGCTCCAGATCTGACCTTGATCCCATTGCCATAAGAGCTTACATGGCACAGCCCTGGGGGCCCCCATTAACCATTTGTGGGTTTTACAAATGCATCATTTTAGTCAGCTCACTATGATAGGAAGTAAGGGCCTGCATGACCACAGCTGTGTGACCACAGGCCAGACAAGTCACCCCCATGAATCCCGGTTTCATTACCTAGAACATCAAGATAATAATCTTTGTTTGGCCTGTGTGTCAGGGTTGTGGGTAATCAAGTGAGACAATGGGTGGAAAAATGCTGCGCAGACTGTAAATCTGGGTTCAGGTGGGAGGGGAGACTGTGTTTACAGGTGAGGTCAGAAGCCACAGGCGGCTAGGCAAGTCAGGTCGCTGGCCCAAGTCAGGCCATAATTTCAGGATTAGGACAAAGGGCTTCATTTAGTGCTTTATTTTAAACTATCAATTTAGAAATGAATACAGTTTCCTTACCAAAAATTTAAAAACAAAATAAAGCTAAAGTTCCTATCTGTCTCCCTCAATTCCAGTTCTCTCCTGAGATCTTGGAATGAGATCTTGCTCTCCAGCCTATGTCTCTCAAATAAACTCATATTGAAAAAAAATTAAAAAAAAAAAAAAAAAAAAGAGCAGCCATGGTTGTCACTGTGAAACTTAGTCTTCCAGACCTCGCAAGGGCATTTATATTCAAACATGGATTCAACTGATACTAAGTAAGCACCTGAGCCCAAGGGGAGATGGGGGTGAACAAGACAGGGTCCCTGTCCTCATGGAATTAACGTTCTAGTTGGGAAGACAAGCAATAAGCAAGTAAACAAATCAACAAAGTTTACTTCAGATGGTGAGAGGGTGCTCAGAAGAAAATAAAGCAGGGGCTGTGATCGGGACTATGGGAACAGACAGGGTGGCCTTCCTACCAGCCACAGTTGTCCAGGGAGTGGGCCAGGATCCTGGCAGGGAAGTGCTGGCTAGTCTGGTCAGCAAGACAGACTCCTCAATGCTTTTGTCCAGCATGATCAGGGAAGGGAAAAGGAAGCCCGAGGAACAGCGGGCGTCCAGGGGAGGCCCCTGACTAGTGTGGGTCAAAGAGCACCATTCTTCCTGCCAACCTGCTGTAGGAGAGCTGTGAAGGAGGGAGGTGTGAAGCTGGGTGAAACCAACCAGAACCGCCCTGGCTGGGTGGCTCAGTTGGTTGGCGCGTCGTCCCGTACACCAAAAGGTAGAGCGTTCGACTTCCTGCCAGGGCACATACCTAGGTTTTGAGTTCGATCCCTGGTCAAGGCACGTACAGGAGGCAACTGATCAATGTTTTTCTCTCTGTCTCTCTATCAAATCAATAAAAACATATTCTCGGGTAAGGATTTAAAAAAAGAAAAAGGAAAAAACACAGAACCACTGGGATGGAAGAAGTTCACCTAGAATGAGCACTGGGAAGGAAGGAAGGAAGGAAGGAAAGAAGGAAGGAAACAATGAACGAATGAATGAATGACCAGGACCTGTGGTTTGCAGTATTTTCACACACACCTCCAGGTAAGTTTCAGAAAGATGAAAGGGGGCGGAACCACCATGGAGGAGCCTGCAGAGATTGTGGGGGAAATGAATCCCATCGTTTCACTGAGAACATCTGGCTGTGGAGTCAAGCTGATTCTGCACCTGTTCAGAGGCCAGTGGCCTGCTTCTCTCTCGGAGCCGGAGGTCCATGCATGCATGTGTGTTCCTGGGGGTGGGAAGCAATGCCTGGCTGGCCCCGTTTCACCTACCACCTACTTTCCATGCCACTGCCTTGCTGGAAAACCCCAGGCAAGGATGTCACCTGTCCAAGGTTTAGTGTCAACATCCATAAAAGGTAGGGATATGCCCACCCTGCTATGCAGTGGCCTGTTTCTAGGATTCTGTGCTCCAGAAATACTATACCGAGGGCTCTGAGATGTATCAATACACACAAAGATGTTCATTGTTTGTTCACAGCAAAGCACAGGGCACAACCTAAATGCTCACTAGTAAGGGGCTGGGTAATTCAGTTTCAGCACAGATGGACAACAGAAGAACACACAGCTGTTGAAAAAGAATGTCATGGAAACACATCCTTAAAAGAAGTGAAAAAGCAAGCTACAGAATAACAGATGTAATAGGATCCCATTTTTGCAAAATAATATTACATATCTATATACTATACATATTTATGTATCTAAACATTTACGTGTGTGTATATGGCATTTTGTTTTATTTTGGGTTTTTTGTTTTCTTTTAAAAAATTTTTTTAAATTTATTTTTAGAGGGGAAAGGAGAGAAAAAAGGAACATCGATCAGTTGCCTCTCGCACATCCCCAACTGGGGACCAGCCCACAACCCAGGCCTGTGCCCTGACTGAGAACCGAACACGTGACCTTTTGGCTCTCAGGCCATCACTCAATCCACTGAGCCACACCAGCCAGGGCCAGATAACTTTTTAAAATCATTCACATACCCTAAAATTTACTCATTTCAAGTACATAGCTCAGTGTTTTTAGTATATTCACGGAGTCGTGCAACCATTACCACTATTTCATTTTGAACATTTTCACTGCCCCCCAAACTCTATACCTGTTGGCACTACACTCGCTCCCAATCTCCCCTCCCCCTCGCCCAGCCCTGGCAACCGCCACTGTCTGTCTCTGTGCAGTTGACTATTCTAGGTGTCAATTATAAGTGGAATCACCGCATTGGTTGCTAATTTTAAACTCTGACTCTGTCACAGTCTTAACCAGCCACTTGAAAAAAAATCCATTTTAACTTTTTCACACCAACACACAGTTTGTGGTTTAATGTTGCTAGAAGCAAATCAGGCTCTAGTTCTAAAACAAAACCAGCCCCAGATGAACAAGAGGAAATTCATTCACACAGCACCAGGGCCCGGGCAGATTACTGCAAGGTGAGAATAAGACAGGTGGAGCCAATTAACTTTATAATGAAAGAAATATAGCTGGGGGAGGGGCTCTTCGTGAACCGGGCCTTCTCTTCCGTCCAGGCAGCCTGGAGCCTCAGCGCCTGCAGTCTTCTGAGTCTAGGGTTTTGTTTTTCAGAGCCTCCTGACTGCC